ACATTGGTTATGTCATATAAGTGACACTACTTTCTGAATATTCATTGTGTATATATGTATTTGTTAATTTAATACCATATTATTCACACTTAGCCATGTGTGTTTTCAGATCTCTGGATAACGCTATTACGAGAAACGGTTTAGTGGTCTGTAGATTCTGCAAAGTAATTCGTGTAGAAACGCTGATAGACGAGTGTGACAATTACTGCGCCACTCGTGGATAATCTGGCCGGATGCTTTTCACGTTGAAAGGTTTGCAATTTTATTCTGCGCTCGACCTTAACAGAGTGGTTGGCACAGTGTGTTGTGATTTACAGATAGGCGGCAATATTTACAATTTTCGGCCCAAACACATCCGATTTTAGCACACTCCAAATTAGTCGTCTCTTAGGACAGGGAACACGCCTTGTCATGATGCAGGGCTTGTCATCATGCACAGTTTGTTATCGTGCACAGCTTATCACGGTGCAGGGCGTGTCATCGTGCACAGCTTGTCATGGTGCAGGGCTTGCCATCATGCACAGCTTGTCATGGTGCAGGGCGTGTCATCGTGCACAGCTTGTCATGGTGCAGGGCGTGTCATTATGAACAGCTTTTCATGGTGCAGGGCGTGTCATCGTGCACAGCCTGTCATGGTGCAGGGCGTGTCATCATGAACAGCTTGTCATGGTGCAGGGCATGTCATTGTGCACAGCTTGTCATGGTGTGTCATTGTGCACAGCTTGTCATGGTGCAGGGCATGTCATCATGCACAGCTTGTCATGGTGCAGGGCTTGTCATCATGCACAGCTTGTCATGGTGCAGGGCGTGTCATCGTGCACAGCTTGTATGGTGCAGGGTGTGTCATTGTGCACAGCTTGTCATGGTGCAGGACTTGTCATCATGCACAGTTTGTCATGGTGCAGGGCTTGTCATCATGCACAGCTTGTCATGGTGCAGGGCTTGTCATCATGCACAGCTTGTCATGGTGCAGGACGTGTCATCATGCACAGCTTGTCATGGTGCAGGACGTTTCATCGTGTACAGCTTGTCATGGTGCAGGGCTTGTCATCATGCACAGCTTGTCATGGTGAAGGGTGTGTCATCATGCACAGCTTGTCATGGTGCAGGGCTTGTCATCATGCACAGCTTGTCATGGTGCAGGGCTTGTCATCATGCACAGCTTGTCATGGTGTGTCATTGTGCACATCTTGTCATGGTGCAGGGCGTGTCCTCATGCACAGCTTGTCATGGTGCAGGGCTTGTCATCATGCACAACTTGTCATGGTGCAGGGCTTGACATCATGCACAGCTTGTCATGGTGCAGGGCGTGTCATCGTGCACAGCTTGTCATGGTGCAGGACTTGTCATCATGCACAGCTTGTCATGGTGCAGGGCTTGTCATCATGCACAGCTTGTCATGGTGCAGGGCATGTCATCGTGCACAGCTTGTCATGGTGCAGGGCTTGTCATCGTGCACAGCTTGTCATGGTGCAGGGCTTGTCATTGTGCACAGTTTGTCATGGTGCAACAAGTTGATGACTCGTCCCCCCCCCCCCCCTTCCCAATGGAGCAAGGGCAGACTAAACTGATAATATAGTCACAGTGATTTTTCCCTAGCCCATACACAAACAGATGTGTAAGAACCAAAGTAATCCATAAAATTCCTTTAAGAACATTGCTATAGCACCTGTCCATTTTTAGCCTAAGGTGAAATATATGTATGTAAGAGTAATACCGCCTCTGTGTTACCTGGGCCATTAAAGGAAACAATGAATGATACAACTGTATAGTACAAGACAGACAGACCGACTGACAGACTAATAGATAGATAGACAGACAGACAGACAGACAGATAGACAGACAGACAGACAGACAGACAGACAGACAGACAGACAGATAGATAGATAAATAGATAGATAGATAGATAGATAGATAGATAGATAGATAGATAGATAGATAGATAGATAGATAGATAGATAGATAGATAGATAGATAGATAGATAGATAGATAGATAGATAGATAGATAGATAGATAGATAGATAGATAGATAGACAGACAAACAGACCAGTAGAAAGAAAACTCTGGATCTTTGCACATAGCTCCCTGAGACCATCATGGCTTACAGTAAAATCTACTTATGTAGGACTTATATGAGAATACATGTTTATGTACTTTATGAAGTGTATTTAACAAATGACAGTGTGCACTACTGGATCTTACTACCATGTTTTTCCCTTTAAAGGTCTTGAAGGAGTGAGCTGGTAGCGTTCTGAGAAAGATACATGATACAGATGTTGCAAGACAAGCCACAGTAACATTGTCTGTTGTTGGAATTCCACTACATAACCAAACATGCCAATAAACAATTACCAAACATAGGTTTTTAATATTGTTGCGTTCTTTAAAAAAAATGTATCTGTTCAAAGGTGGCAGCTGTGGCTCAGGCAGCATGAACATGCTTTGTAAATCTGAAATTCGTTTTTTCCCCTTAACTGCAGATGATTTGGCAGTAGACTGTGTTGCACTGATTTTGACAAAGGTGTGGAGCACTAACTGTTTAGCTGCAATGGAAATTGCTTACTGCATAAAAAGTGCCACCATTCTGACGAGGATCACCCAGGAACAGGTCCCAGAAACCCTGCTCAACCCATAGGTTTAGTTATATTAGGCTCCCCGACATTAGCCGGGGTGGGGCTTCAAAACAACTAAAAATTGCATCCTACAGACAGATGCTATTTTTCTAGTATTAGTGTGGCATTTGATGTCTCATCATTTTATATCTACACCATATGATGCCAATAAACACTAGCGCCGTTTCAACAACAACAAAAACCACGGCTTTCTTTCTCTGGCTGGATGGTTTGATAACACATATGTGGTAGTTGGTCTTCTGAGCCGTTAACAATACACCCTGGTTTGCCACAGGGTTCTCCATTGTATCATATCCTCTTCAACATTTACAGTCAAGATCACGAGAACAATTGAGTGGCAGAGGAAGAACTCTATCATATGTGAATGACATCTTCGTGTACCAACAGGGCAGGCATAGAGATGACATTGTTTTGGATCTACAACAGGAATTAGATCGCATATCATCCTGGTGCAATAATTAATTTATCAAAAGTGACAGTCACCTGGTTCTCATTTAATAATCACCTTTCCAAAACATCAATGCGGATAGTAAAACTCTGTGGCGCTGACGTTGAGAGATCTTATTCCATAAAATACCTGGGTATAACATTTGACAGATGCTTAGCATTTAAAAAACATGTTATGGGAGCTGCAAACTTTGAGCAACGCTACTTGTAATGTTGTATCGTGAGTTAGTTCTCTCTACTGTTGAGTATGCCTTGGCCATCATGACACTCAGCACCACACAGATAAACAGACTGGAAAAAAATGAAAGCGAGGCAATGCGTATTATTCTTGGATGCACTAGAGACACCTCCTGTAAATCCATGCGATACCTCTTGGATTTTCCCATTATGGGAAACAGAATCAAGCTATCCAGGGCCGTTGCTTTCCTCAAAGTGAAGTCAGACCATCGACACCCACTTTATGAGGAATTATTCAAGCAAAAAAACAGTAGGCTCAAACAAGGCAAATCCTGGATTGGTCAGGCTGAGGATGCCATCGAACATGTTTGCTGCCTTACTGACATTAATTTTGGAAATGAATGGATAATTATGCCTTCCTCTCCAAACATTAATATTACAGTCCATATCAAACTTGATGGAAGCTGTAGAGAGCAGATTCCTGGCATTGTTGACACTTTAGTCAGAACATTGATTGCGAAAATACAGATGAATGTGATGCTATAGTTTACACTGATGGGTCAGTAATTAGGGGCAAGTGAAGTGCATTTGCATTCACAGTAAGCTCAAGGGGGAAAACCATCAAGGAGATGAATGGCGCCTTCGCTGTTACAAAAAGTAGCCTTACAATGGAAACTATAGCTGTAGCAAGGGCTTTAGCATGGCTTGGTACTCAAAAGTTCACACATGGATGCATTCTTAGTGACTCGATGAATATGCTTAAAAAAATCCAAGCTGGATAAATCAGGCAAGAATGGATCCCAACATTAAGCACTTCACGAATATCTGCCCTAACCTTCATCTTTGTGCTAGGTGATGCGGGTGTTCAAGGAAACGAGTGTACAGACTATCTTGCTGACACTGCGGTTGCTATGGCTGGTTCAGTACTGGACAGAAGTGATGTTATCAATGCCATGCGCTGCACTTACTGTACCGAGCAGCACACCAAAGGACATGAATCCGTATCCCTGTCTAGACTGATGGACATGGGGGTGCAGCCTGGAGCTGCAAGAAATGAACATTTCACTAAGGGGACAAGACATTTCATTAACTAACATAGAATAGGCGTCAGTCATTTACACTTGTGGAGCTTTTGAGGAGGAGATCGGAGCACCTATGGATCTGTCCAGAGTGCTGTGATGATAATCCTTTCTAATCACTAATCACACACACCAACTTTCCTCATCGTTGTATCACTTTGTTCTGTATTTCTGAAGGAGCTGCATCCATGAAGGAACATAAACTACCAGGTTCCAAATAAATGCAGTCTTCCTGCTATGTTCTGTCTCATGCATTGATTCAATAATCTCTGCAGTTATTTTGTTTTGTTATGTTATCGTTGTCATACTCTAGTTTTTCAATGTAGCATCTTTCAACAAAACATGATGCCAATGACTACTAGTTGCCTTCAAACACAACCCCCGTTGCAGCTTTCTTTCTCCAACTGGAAGGGTTGATAGCACTCATACAAAAACACTTATTATGTTATTGTTGTCATACTCTAGTTTTTTCAATGTAGCATCTTTCAACAAAACATGATGCCAATGACTACTAGTTGCCTTCAAACACAACCCCCGTTGCAGCTTTCTTTCTCCAACTGGAAGGGTTGATAGCACTCATACAAAAACACTTATTATGTTATTGTTGTCATACTCTAGTTTTTCAATGTAACATCTTTCAACAAAACATGATGCCAATAACTACTAGTTGCCTTCAAACACAACCCCTGTAGCAGCTTTCTTTCTCCTACTGGAAGGGTTGATAACACTCATACCAACTTTCCTCACCTTTGCCTTATTCTGACCTGCCCCCTTTTTAGGACTTGCATCCATGAAAGGATTCAAACCCCCAGCTTGATTTTTCTGCGCTTTTAATGTTTCTATCTGTTGACTGGCTGCTGTTAACTGGACTTCCAGCCTTGAGCAACATTCTGCCAGACTGAAAAGTACAGACTGAAGTTCCAGTTTTTTCTCTGCTGCTTTAGCCTCAAACAAATCTAGCTCGATGGCTGAAGCCCCTTTCCCCACTGAAAGGGTGACTTTGGTACCTATGCGTCCTACTGTCACTTCACCAGACTGAAATCCATTTCTGTGGAAATAACAAATACACAGGTGATATTAAGTAGTAAGTAAAGGACCTTCTCATGCTCTGGTGCATTGAGCATGCAGTAAGTTTTTTTTTTTAAAAAGGCCCTTTTCCACTTCTTCTGGCGTATTCAGCATAAAGGGCTAGACCTCTTATTTTATATACTAATCGGCACTCTGTAAACATCTTCCTCTCAGATTTTGTAAATTTTTATGTTTTATTCCATTTGCAAATTTCTCTGATATGGATGTTTCTTGTAATCTTTCTCTATTGTACTCTGGATGTGATTGTACTTTGTTTGATTTTTAATTTTGCACTGACCAGGTAGTGGTCAATATGACACTTAGCTCCTCTGTAGCTTCTAATTTGTATGTTCAATGCATTTCTACTATTTATCAAATGTGATCTATCTGATTATAAGTTATCTAGTCACATGATTGCCAGATTTGTTTATGTACATCCTTTCTTTGAAATCTGGTGCTGCTTATCTGTAGTCCTTTGGCTTCTGTGAGGTTGATTAATCTCCATCCATTATCGTTTGAAACTGTGCGTAGCCTTGCCATGCCTGCTACATTTTTATAAGTGTGTTCTCTCTTCTTATTTTTGCACTGAAATCTCCTAAGACAATCAATATGTCCCATTTTTGAGTCTCCTCTATGATATTCTCAAGGCGATCATAGAAATCTTCTTTAATATCATCTTCTTTATCTTCAGTGGGTGCATGCACATTAATCCATATTTTTCCAAGTATCCTTTTATTCGTAACTTAATGATCCTATCATCAACAGCTTCAAAATTTATAATACTTTCCTAAAACTTTTTCTTGATGACAAATCCTGTCCCCAGTTTATGTTTGTTTTGAGTGTTTCCTACATACATTATAATCATTCCATTTATTCTATGGTACCCTGTCCTGGTCATCTTATTTCTTGAATTGCTGTTTTATCCATTCTGTATTTTTGATAACTCACAGGTCAGTTCTCCAGCTCTATAAAGGGTTTGTACATTCCATGTTCCAAAGAACACATGGTTCGATAAAATATGCGAAGTAGTCAGTAGTCAGGCATTCGTAGACCAGGAGAAGGCATTTGACAGAGTCGACAGACAATTATTATGGAAAGTAATGGCAAGATATGGAGTAAGCGAACACCTCATCGAAGTGTGCAAAAGTTTATACAGGGATTGTAGAAGTGTAGTTAGAATAAATCAGGGAACATCTCATCCATTCACAGTAACATCTGGAGCAAGACAGGGGTGTGTCTTATCACCACTGCTGTTTATCACCTACATCGACAGTATATGCAAGAATGCCAAGCCCATAAATGAAAATGTTAGTAAGATCAACAAATTACTCTTTGCAGATGACCAGGCCTTGATAGCAGATACAGCCATGAAATTGCAACAACATCTAACATCAATGAATGAAGAATGTAAAACAAATAATATGAGAATCAACACTGAAAAGACAGAAGTAATGTCAATAGGAAAAAAGAAGACAGATCTAAATATAGCAATAGAGTGCAAAGGCATTTAATAGGCATCTGAGTTTAAATATCTGGGAACTACATTTACCGAAGATGGGAAATTGGATAAAGAAATTAACATTAGATGCAGTAAAGCAAACCAAGTATTGGTACAGCTAGCCCCCCTCTTACAGCATAAGACAATCCCAATTAGCACAAAGAGACATCTTATTCAAAGCATATTTATTCCAACTCTGTGCTACCAGTGCCAGACATGGTCACTCACAACAAACCATAAAAGAAAATTAGAAACCATGGAAATGAGATGTCTGAGAAGGGCTGTAGAAGTGACCATAAGAGATAAGATCAGGAATGAGATCATAAGAGAAGAAGTCGGCACAGAACCAATTCTAAATTACATACGAAGACAGCAAGTGAAATGGTTTGCCCACTTAGAGAGAATGCCTTGTGACACCATACCATACAAAGCATACATGGAAAGAGAAGAAGGACGTAGAGCACGAGGTAGACCAAGAACCATATGGAAGGATAACATCAGAGAAACTCTACAACAGCACGATGTGTCTATGGTCAAGGCGGCCAGAAGAGCTAGAAACAGAACCTTATATCTCCCTTGACACCCACAGCGGTAAAAGAGGAAGTGAAGAAGAAGAAGAAGTCAGTTAACATGCAGACACATGCAAGGCAGATGTGGCTAAATGATACTAGTAACATACAAAATGAAGAAAAATATAGAACAGAATGTAAAAAAGCTACAAAAGTGGTTAGGTAGCAGAAACAAAAATACATGAACAACACTGTCATGGATATGGAAGCTAACCAACAGAATAATGAATTCAGAAAGTTTTTCTTTTTTAAACTGAAGGCTGTAAAAACGAGGGCATCAACAAAGCATATATAGTTTAAAAGATCACAATGGCAACATGATAAATAATAATAAAGAAATATGTAACCGATGGAAGGAATACTTTACTGAACTGTTGAATTGTGCAACTCCACTAAATACTTACTTATCCACAGGAAAAGATACTAACATGTGAACCAAATACTGAAGAGACTGATTATGAAGAAATATTGTATGTCATAACACAGCTTAAAAACAGTAACTGGTGCTGATGGAATTGCTGCTGAACTTATAAAATAAGGGGTCATGCATTACATGTAAAGATATATGAATGAATAAAACTAGTTTGGAAGACAGAGAAATTATGTTTTAATTACGTTTTATATGGCTCTGAAGCTTGGAGCACAACTGAAAGAGGTGAAGTCTTATTACAAACTTTTGAATACAGAGTATTCTAATGAATCTCTGAACCCATCAAAGCTGCAAACAAAGGGGGTGGAGAGTGAGAGGCAACAACGAAATTCATAATCTGTTTAAATCATCACTGGTCACTGGCATCAGGAGGGCTTGGGCATGCTGAGAGAATATCAAATGACAGAGAAGTAATAACTGTACACTCAAGAAGATGATAGAGAGATAACGTCCAGACAGACCTGCAAACACTTGGTGTCACCAACTGGAAAGAGAAGGCCAACCAGAGAGATGAGTGGAGGCGGGTGATATCTGCAGCAATGAATCTCAAGGGCTTGGAACGCTGAAGAAGAAGGAGAAGATGAAGAATCAGCATTCTGTGGGTGATGTGGTCAAAAAACACATCTGTTGCCTTTACTTCTCTGGACATTACCTGGTATCCATTTTAGTCTGGGTAAACCTGGGAGCCAAAGCCAATTTTGAAAAAAAATCTGACTCGATGTGGATTTTAATCCTAGATCCAGAGGCCTGCAGGTTAGTGTGTAGTCGCTAAGCCTCCAACACAGGTGACACAGCAGTAAGAAATATCATTCTGGTATCCATAAAGAGGAAGTCCCATAACAGATATTCCCACTGTGATGTGAAGTATTAGAACTTTAAGCATGTAGGTGACAAGTTCTCTTTCTGACTGCCTTTCTTTCGTAATTTTCTCTGAAACAGCCACCGGTGATGCTTATTTCTGAGCTTAGGTACAAAGTCTGTGACACTATCAATTTCCTCATCACTGTTTATAATTTTTCCCTGTGTGGGTTCTGGACCCTACTGTGGGGAAAACAAGAACAGACCCACTGCCTCCTCAACAAGCATGTCATAAAAGTCGACTATTTTGGTTCATTTATCTTAAGTTGGAGTACACCTGCCTGAGAGTCTGCATACAAATAAACCTGAACTGTGAAACAGATGCGCACACAATCCTCAAGTTTGGACCATGTACTTAGTGCAGTTGCTTGTCAACAGTGTGGTTCATGTACTTGGTGCACTTTCTTGCCAAGGGAGTGTGCTCAATGCACTTAGTTTACTTGCTTGCACCGCAGCGCACTACCAGGGGAGAAGTCTTGTTAGGTAACAATAATTTGCTTACAAATAAGCGAGATCTGTAAAAAGATGTGCACACAAATTCAAGTCCTCAAACAAGATTAAAATCCAGATGTGGACGACACCAAAACTTTCTGTCAGAGTTTACAGCTTAGCAGAAGTTTCTAAACTTTTCTTCAAGGTTTTTTGCTAAAAAAAAAGAGTGAAATATGTTCAAAAAAATGTATGGGATGGGAAGGCAGGGAAGGAAACTGGTAACCTCACTTTGTACATCATGGCCTAGAATATGTCAAGACATAATGCGTCACATCCTAACAACAGCTGTGTTATTTTATCACCATCGACATCACTGCACATTGGGCACTCCCATGCGTGCTCAGTCCTCCAAAGCAGAAGCCACTCCAAGGTACCTGTGCTAACTGTTCCCATGAGGAGTTGGTTATGATGTCTCCTAACAAGTATATCTGCTATGGGACTACATTTTACTGTTGGACAATTGTGAAAGAAAGATTTCCTCAAGGAAATGTTACCTTTCATGACTGGTGTTAGACCTTTCAATCAGTGTTTTAATTACACTGCTCTAAAGAGGGTGTTTACAAGATAATGCATGAAATGAATAATTGTGGGTTAGCGTAAGTCTATACTTAGCAATAAAAACCACAATTATACACCTCATCCATAGAATCCGTAAAACAGTAACAGTTCTCACCTGAACCTGATTAAAAATGCTTCAATCGAATCAATACCACTGAGATCTTTCTGGGCTTCTAATCCATGAACATCAAGCTCCAACAGCCACAAATCAATTCCATCAGTTACATTTATCACCCATGACTCAGAGTCTGTGCACTTTGTGAAGCAAAGGTATTTCACACGTCCATTTGAAACAACTTTCTGCAGTGCATCTACTTTGGCATCAGAGAGAGTTGTAGCAAAACTGGATGACATAGCTGTCCACTCAGAGAATATAAATTTTGCACTGGCTCTTTGGTCAGGATGACAAGATCTCAATCCGATAATGCTATGTCTTGCTGAACTGGATAAGAACAAAAACAAGTTAATGATCTGGCAATCAAACTAGCACAGATAACACAGACATGTTAAGCAAACTGGTATTCTTTAGAAACTATAGAATCACAGTTAAATCAATTTAATTTGGTACTGAAAAAAAATCCTTGTTTTATGTTTATCATCATTTCTTTTTCATTTGCTCTGGGCTTTAGGTGTAATGAATGTTCTCTGTAATTCTAAAATATCCAGTTCAATTCAGATATTTCACAACAGACTGCCTTGAGCTGATTTCAACCATGATATGAAGTGATAACCAGTCAGAAAGCACCGACAAAAAAATGAAAATAAAATTGTCTCGTCAAAACCACAAAGAGCCAAAAAATGCTGCAGTTAGTTCTAAGATGTCCTGCAAAGGAAATAGAACTAATTAACATGTTTTCTGTCCTTCTTCTGGGACCTGAGTTCAAGCTTGTGAACAATGAAACACCAAAAACCTTTAAACAAAACAATGTAAGTCTAATCTCAGCAAGCCAGTAACTTCAATGTAATAATAAGCACTGTCAAAATGTATGTCCTGTTTTCATGAAAGTTATTTTGTGTGTGTGTGTGTGTGTGACATGAGACTCCCAAACAAAGCTGGTGATTTAATGATCTGAAACTAGGTGAGAAATGATCCTATAAGACACTGCTGGAACAAAATCTTGTAAACCCTATTTAACATTTACTGCCAGTGAAATTCAAAAATTAAACAAACTTCTGTGGCACAGATTTTAAGAAAATCATAGCTGAAGATCTCTTATGGTTCTGGAAGGTCACAGGGAGACAATAATGTCACCTACAAACTCATTTGTGTACTGTTTCCATCAGTGCAAAATAAACACCACTTTCAGGAAATGAATGCGCTTTCAAGAGTTTGTCTGAGTCTCTGAATAAATAAAGTCCCTGTATAAAAATAATTAAAAAAAACCATACACATGAATCATATCCAGTCACACACTGTATATTTCTACAGAGATAAACAATTGATACACAGCTAGTCTACATTACTTAAGATACATAGACAGGAACTTGGTCAGTGACAACGCTTGGAAACTTTGTTTCACAAGCAACTCAGTTAAACTACAGGACTCTTTATCAGCGCCTACACTTCTACACGAACAATGGATCCAAACACTGACACCCCCCCCCCCCACTATAATCTCTGTGGACATCGAACAAATCATTTCATATAAGCAACTCGGGTTGTCCTCTGAATAACGGTCCCAAATTATCGAGGCCGTAAATATACCCTAACATGGCCTCAGTCACATGTAAATAGCGGAATAGCGGACCTCTTCTGGCGACTACACAGCATACTGTGAAAAAGCTTCCGCCGAGTTAAAGTCACTGCCGTGCATAGCGGGGCTAAACTAGATGGCTGGGACTCACGAGCAGCAGCTACCGCATCTCATGCAGCTTCCTCTATTTTATTCGCTCGTGAGTCCCAGCCATCTAGTTTAGCCCCGCTACACGCGGCACTGGAGATACTCTCTGAGAAAGATTCCCTGGAAGAGGTCCGCAAGTTACATGTGAATGAGGCCCTGTTAGTATATTTTAGGCCTCCATAATTTGGACTGTTATTCGGAGTATAGCCGCAACTCGGTCATAATTATACTGCTTGGCTCTTCATCATCAATACCCACACTTCCACTATCCTCCGAATAACGGTCATAAATTATCGAGGCGGAAAATATACCCTAACAGGGATCCGGTCTCGTGTCAATTGCGCACTTCCATCGTCTTTAAATGCGCGCTTACGGCGACTTCTGCCACCGCCGAATTGCGAACTTTCAGCAACTTCCACAACCGCCGAGAGTGCCTCCCACGACGCTCATACGGCATGGATTTGGGCTAAACTAGATGGCTAGGACTCACGAGCAAATAAAATAAAGGAAGCTGCAGGAGATGTGGTAGCTGCTGCTCCTGAGTCCTTGCCATCTAGTTTAGCCCAAATCCATGCCGCGTGGGAGGCACTCTCGGCGGTGGTGGAAGTTGCCGAAAGCGTGCATTTTAAGACGACGGAAGTGCGCAATTGACACATGACTGAGGCCCTTTTAGGGTATATTTTCCGCCTTTATAATTTACGACCTTTATTCGGAGGATAGCCCACACTTCTACACAGATCCATACATTGATCAGCCCCTTAATTGTCTCTGCAAATATCCGAAAAATCTGCACAATACAAAACAGTTTTTGGTAGCATAAGAAACACTTGCACTACTGCTATAAAATAAAAATTCGACCTCTGGCTCTTCTACTTTAAAAAAAAATAAACGTAAAATACTAAAAGTTAAAGGGAGCTATGTTTTGTCACTATGGCTTAAGAGTACTCTAAGAGTACATATAATTTCAACAAGGGCAGGGTGTGTAGAAACTGATACCTAGTAATGGAGACTTATTTTTTTACATTTCATAAAAAACCCACATACTTAAGGAATTGTTCAGTGTTGAATGTTCGTTACTTCCTTGAGACCAAAGTTCGTAAAAGACAAGCTTGTTTTCATGTGGAGAATTATATTAAATGCTGGATCAGTTTACACGTAACAAAACAGTAAATACATTATAGAATTGAACTTGAATTAAATTTGTAGTTTAAAATACACATATAATATAAATGCATTAATTAATAGTACTGTGCATAGATTGCATCGAATTGTTAGTAGTTATCTGCAATTGTTTGAATCTAGTAGATACGATATTTAGCATGTATTATATTTCGTCATGATTTTATTTGATCCATATTCCATATACTCACTCACTACCACCAAGATGGCTGCGCTCATTCGGTGCAATGCTCTCATCTATCGTAACTTTGTACAGTCAGTATCTAAGATTCTCTCAGTTCCAAACAACAATGGGTTAATAAAATATTCAAACCAAAGGTTTGTACAATACTGAGTATTAATCATTCTTGCCTGCTGGATAGGTTTATTTATAAGAGAGTCTGACTGTTTGTTACTACTACTCTACTACTTTGTCAAAAAAATCAGCACCAAAGTCATGACCATTTTATTGTGAATTGTAATAAATTGTATTTTGTTACACATATATGGCAGTTTGTATTGTATCTTGTGTTACCTTCTTTAATATTGGTCGCTGCGAGATTGATAGCGTTTGTTCAGCTCTTACAACTGTCAGAGATGTTAGTAACCGCCCATGCCAGTGATGATGACTTTGACTTTGATGACCTTGTCTTTGCATTTAGACACTGGTTACTGGTTTATTATTATTATAGTTTACATATATTTAAAGTATTTTAATATCTGTTAAAGAACAAAATGTGGCAGGCAAAATTTGAATTTTGTTCAGTAAAGTCCTTGTGTGTGTTCCAAGGCCTCATTTTGAGGAAAAAGAAGAATAAAAGTTTTTAGCTACACTATGACTATTTATCCATGTCTTTCTTGGTCTTCCTCTCAGGTGTTCTACTGTAAAAAGTCTCATTTGCTCCCATAGATTTTCAAAACTATTTATGTTTAGCAGCTTACCATTGCTTTCTGAATGGTCAACTCTTGATATCATAAGCTGTTGTCAAATCACAAATCGCTAACAGCTGGAATTGAATCATTGTCTAAATCAATGCAAAGTGCTCTCCTTACACTACTTACAGTTACAGACACTGTACTAAATAGGTTTGTCACTTTATTCTTGGCCCACATCCCTCTCCTCTATTGGTACATGCCTTGAGTGGTAAGGCTTCACAGGGTATTCTGTTTTCTATGTGGGGAAACCATTTTATTCATTGTCTTTGTACAGAAACTTCATTTCCAGTATGATTTAATGTTTGTTTCATAATGTTTTTGAGTAACCAGATCTGGCACAAATAACATTTGGAGGGAATGAATGTGTTTTATATGAAATGTTTTGTTTATACTGGTCAGGATTGTCGGCTCTTCTTTGAATCGTTCCCCAAAATGGCAGCTTTAATATGATAGCGTTCAAAAGAGAGCTAAATTTGCCAATTTCTTGCCATAAAATATCCAAATGCCGGTCAGTTCTATTAAAAATATATGTGCAGGCTCCGGATAACGAAACAAATGCTCTGACAGGGTCTCGGCGATACGGTGCTTGCCGACCTGCTTCTGCGAGTGTGCCTCACCGCCGAGCGTATCCCCCGCGCCGCTATGGGCGGCGCGGATGAGGGCTAAACTAGATGGCTGGGACTTACGAGTGGCAGCCACCGCATCTCCTGCAACTTCCTCCAATTACTGTACTCGTGAGTCCCAGGCACCTAGATACGCTAGGCGATGAGTTTAATCGCGTTTGGCGCATGCCGACAAGTCTGACATCTACCGCTGCTAAATCCTCCAATCGGAAGAAAACAGTATTGCTAATCATTTTCATCGTCTGTAATGTCTCGAAATTGGTCAACGGTCGCTAGTATCGTCGTCTGCAGAAACGCTTGAAATTTTTGTCAACGGTCGGTATTTATCGTCTGCTACTAGTACCGTGTGCAATGTTGATAGTGATTGTCAAGTAATCCTAGTTTTGCCGCGATTTGTCCCTTGGCAGACAGTCTGTATTTTAGATATACGGGAACACCGCCGTTCGGATATTTTATGGCCAGAATGTGGCATGCCGCCATTTTGGGGAATGAATCAAAGGAGTGCCGGATTGTCTTATATTGTAGGAGTGGGGCTAGCTTTTCCTGTAATAATGCAATTTTTGTTGTTATTGACCCAATTGCAGATATGCTGCCACTGCAGCAGCAAGAAAAGATGAGCTGCTTGATCAAGTGCGCCATAAAGTCAACTTGAATTCTGGGATATCGCAAAGCCTGTTTCAGACAGTGTACTCATCATGTGATGGTATGGGCCCATGTTTTCTATTGTCCTGTTTCACTTTTATCAGAATATCTTTCCTCTTTTAAAAATTTACTGAAATTATTTAATTATGTACACAATACTTTACTGCATTGGTTCAGCAAATAACAGATAGAACAGTAAAAGTGTGAACACGTGGCAAATAAAACACTAACTTACTCCATGTGTAATTTTAAAGTAAAAGAAAAATTAAAGTAAAGTTACCTTTTTCACACCTTAGGTGCATCGGGCATATAGGAAGAGCGTCCCATATTTTTACAGACCAATCGGCACTGGGTGGGTAGTGTGGTCAGCATTATGCCAGCCGTCTTTACTTCCCTAGGACAGCCATACTGGTACCCAAGTTTGGCTGGGTCGACCTGCGATGCCCCATACCATGATAAAAGTCCACGCAGCCAGCAGTGGGTTTCAGTCGCGGTACATTGGAATTACGAGTCAAACTCTCGATGCCTTAGCCATGGATGCTGCTTTCCCATGTGTTATTTAGAACTCTAAATTTTATAGTTTTAAAACCAAGTTACATATTTTAAATTCTAATATTGTTTGTTTTAACATATGCCAGTGAATGTTGGAGAACCACTAAAGATATGGAACAAAAGTTAAATGCATTCAAAAACAAATGTCTGAGGAAAATTATGAAAATAAAATGGGATGAATTCAAAAGAAGTGAAGAAATAAGTGAAATGTCTGGGCAACCACTGTTTTGACAGTTATAAGACAGAGAAGATGGCACTACATTAGACACAGCCTGAGAAGAAACAAGCAGAGAATAAGCAAACAAGCATCACAATGGGAAATAAAGGTATTAAGGAGGTGAGGACGCTAAAAGAAACCATAAAAGGACGTTGATGAGAGAGGCCAAAGCTGCTGGACTGCATTCCATCCATCATATTAATCTGATTGCACAAGATAAAAGAGAATAGAGAAATAGACTGTGAGCCGTTTGTGATATATAATGACCTAACAGGATAATGAATGAAATCTATCCTTTTTAAATGCATGAGCAACAACCCCATGCACAGAATAGCAAAAAACTTACCAAAAACTGACTGACAAGACAAAGCTTTCACTATCTATCAAAACTGTACTACGAAAAAACAGTGACAACCTTTCTAGAGATCCTTCAACGTGGGAAATAATCTAGGCATACAGCATAGACCTACAGCCTAACTATACAGTCACAACAATTCCAGGCATAGACAGAAAGGCTGAAGAATGTGACCCAGTACTGCATGCAAAGACTCTTTAATATGTCTACAACTCTTATCCAAAATCCGAATGGACACACGTATACACTGATGGATCATTGGAGGGAGCAGAACAAAATGGAGGAGATGGATCGGTCATCATGCTGCAAGATGGGACTACAGTAGAAGTGTCATGCGCCTCCGAAGACTCTCAACACACTTCAGAGCAGAGCAGCAAGAAATTATTAATTCAGCCAAAGTACTAGAGGAAAGAAAAATTAAAAACAACAAAATTGTTTTCCTTTGTGACTGCATGTCAGTCATCCAAGTGACTCAGAGGGATCCTTGAGACAACACTGAGAGAGAACTGACCTGCCAGCTAAACAGACTCTCAGAAAGCAATCAAATTATTCTCCCGGCTCACTGCAGCATGCCAGGATATGAGTTAGCAGACAGACTTGCAAAAATGGAACAAAGGAGAAACAGCACACCCATTCATTGTCATTACCATAAATCGGAACACTTATCAAGGGAAAATACAAGTAATTGTGGAAAGAACAAACAGTAAACTTTTGCAAGACTCAACAGAAAGCAAAATATAACAATTTTTCGTCTACGAACAGGATGTTGCAGGCTTAACTACCACATGCATAAAATAAAGATTGTACAGTCCCTACAGTGTTCCTGTCAAACAAGACCACAAACACCTAAGCACATTCTGCAGACCTGCCCACTCTACCTGCATCTTCGAAAAGACACCTGGCCTTGAGAGCAAAGTGTGCTAAGCAATCTATGGGGAACCATGAAGGACCTGCTACTGACATGCAAGTTCATAAAGACAACCCACCTGATGGTCTGATCTGACCATACAAAACTGAATGCAAAAAAGATCTGTCCAGTGCAGTGAACTTTGCATCTGCCTTTTCCTTAAGATTTGTGAGCCTGTGACATTGTCTGGTCATTTCAGACAATGCTATTACGCTTTGTTGGGCTGATACTTCTCTGCACAGCCATTGACATCTATCCATTTGGGCAGACATTTCCTTGATTAATGAGAGGTAAACAACGGTAGGGGACGGTGTCATGATTCATTTTGACTTGTACAGATTCTAGCACATGTGGTGTTTTCCAGACAAATGTTTTTGCATTTAAACAGGACATATACCAAAGGGAACGTAAATACCAAGGTAGTGCTATACTTTTATTGAAATCTATCAAAATATATGCTCAGTTTGCAAATACAGAAAAAAAACCTTCATTTTAGGACAAAGACCGGCACTGCAACAGTAACACACTGTCAGTGCTCGATGGTAAAAGATGTCTGTCTTCATGGAGACTAATGGTTTGTTCAACTGCTGAGAATGCAGCACAAAGCACGAGACTCCATACTTCCAGGGATGACCATAAATATTTGAGAAACACAGACCAGAGTATAGTCTGATATCAGCCCATAACCTTTAGAGTGGTGTTCACATTTGTCAGTGCTTCTTAGCTTATACAAAGACTTTCATCTTGCCTTGATTAATTGTAATGTCAGATAGTGTCTGATTGAATGTAAATATCTGTGTACCTATGACTGTGTATAGTTCATTGTAACATTTTTGACAGATTGTCCCTGATTGAATGTAACTTTATTTTTCCCACAACAGATTCACTAACGGACCAGGATATTGCATTATTACTTCATGTCTGCACGAATGGACCTTTTGATGCGCCATCCCAGAAAAGGTCAGAGCTGGCAGATGAGTTATGGAATAAAATGGAACAACTGGGTAGGTCTTTTTTTGTATAACTACAGAAGGTTATAACTTTTTATATAATGATGAAATGTTAGGATAATTTTTTTTTCTTTAATATTTATTCTGTTGTTTTTTTGCAGCTGTCTTACATCAATGGTTTGCTTAATAATTATATTTTCTCAATCTTTGTCTGTCTCTCTTCAGTTTTAAGCAGGATGGCAGTCCGCTTCTTCTTTGCCAGTTCCATGTGTTGCTGGTGATCATGTCCTGCTAGTCTTCCATATCTTGATGTTAAGCTGTCTGACATCCTCTCTCTTGATCTCCCCTTGCCTCTTTTTCCACCACTCTTTCTTTTTGTCATTATGTACTACTTTTTAACTCCTCTTGGTGTGCCCCAAAAACATGGATAGTCTTAGTTACACCTGTTTATAATTTTAAAACTGTCTATTACTGCCTGTATTTGCCACTTTTCAAACCTGGGTCTACCACATGAGAACCCAGCACTCATAACCTTTCAACCATCCACTCCTTGTTTTTCATTCAGTCCCAATAAATTTCTGTTGGCCACCCATGCCAGAATAGATGTAGTGCACACATTTATTGCTGAAGAAGAAATCAATTGACTTTATTTGTGATTTACTATTTGTTTGAAATGTATATTTTCAGGCATTAAACCTACAATCAAAATGTACAACATCAAACTAAGGGTGTACGTTTCCAACAAAATACGATTCAGTCCTCTGGATGAGCTGCAGAAGTTGAAGTCATTAGGCTTGAATCCAGACAGGGTAATGGTTGTTCTTTTGCAGTTATTGATATGCTAGACAGCTACACTGAAAGTGAAACTTTTGGTATCCCATACTGTCAGACTTGGCCAGTGAGCATATCTGAGACCAGATACTGCTGCAGTGGCCTACAAAAGACAGTATGATACCTCCCGGTAGACCTGAACATATATGGCAGCCGTAGTAGCCTAAACAGGAAAGAATGAAAAAATATGAATTTTTATTTACACGTATGAGATACTTCTCATAAAGAGATAAAAGACTTTTTTTTTATCATTGGTTATAACTTTAGGAGTTTTGAAATGTATTGTTTGTAAAATATCTTGTTTACTGCCTTTTATCAACTTATTGAATCAAAGGCTCTGAATTAACCAAGTCATCTTATCTTTTGTCATTGCTTGCAACTCCTCCTTATTTTTTGTTTCATCTCATTCTCTGATTTTCTGCTGTGTATATGTGTGTAGTTTTAATTGTACATTTTTTTGGTCTGCCTTTATTCCTTTGACCCTGTGGCTCCTGTCTTTCCTCGGCCTTTTCTTTTTTGTACCATCAGTAATTTCTGTCCTAATGCCAACCTGTGCAGCATCTTCTCTCTGGGTTTCCTCCACCACTTATCTCCTCCAGCTTTCCCATGGTCACAACATACTCCATGAGCAGGTAAAAAACTGGAGTATGTTTTGACTAAACAATGTACAGTATCTTCTTCTGAAGGGGTAACTTATAATACCCAAATATGAATCAAATAAGTTGAAGAGACATTTAGAAGAGAAGTGAGTAATGTATCAACCGAACAAGACACTAATCGTTAAGGAAATCATATTCTTCTTCTTTGCATTCACTCGCTGAAAACTTTGGCAGAAAGTTGTGGTTGTTCGTCCACTTCTAGACTCTAGTCCTATTCCAGAAACCGAGTGTTGCATGCAGACTTTGGTTCCTTGTCTCTCAGACAAATGTTCTCTGACTTTAAAGAAATCTTCCAGTTAGTTGACTCTTACGACATTCTTTTGGGTAGGCAGTGGGTCTATCCTGTTTTCCCCACAGTAAGGCCCTGGAACCCACATGGGAAAGAAAGCATATTGAATCAGAATTTGCTTATACAGTGTATTCTTGAGTACTAATGACTCGTTGAATATTTTAATGATGAGTTGATAATTGTAAATGCCATTCCACTCACTGTTGATATTGCTGACCTTATTATACACATGATCTCTCAGATGACTTATGGATTGTTGTTGGAGGAATTTTGTCAGCAAGGAAACATAGCAGGAGCAAAGTAAGTGTTACACTGAAGATAAATTACTGTTTATGACCAGTCTGGAGAGACTTATAATTTATACCTGTGATACACAGTAGTATAATCTAGAGACACTTATAATTTGTGTGTTAAACACACGGTAGCATATCCTTATAATTTATATCTATGACATACGGTAGAATAATTCAGATACCCTTGTAATTTATATCTGTGACACACAGTAGCAGAATCCATAGACTCTTATAATTTATATTTGTGACACACAGTAGTATAATTAAGAGACCCTTACAATTTATATTTGTGACGCACAGTTATATAATTTCACCATAAGATTCTGTAAAACTAATAGATATGGTCTCAGAAACATCTCCCAAGTGGTTAACTTGCAGCCATAATAAAAACTACTTGATTTAGATGACCAGCTACCAAATATTGTTTTCTTGTTTCTTCTTTTCCTCAATTTACATTAGCACACTGTTGGGAAATGTAAGGATCTTCTGTGTGCTCTTTGTAATTTGCTAAGTCGGTCCTTCTTTAACTCTTTCAGGCCCATGAATTTTAAAAGACTTGGTCCACATTAATTTCCCTTTACAAAAATGGCAGAGAGGTGGGTGTACAAGAAAGGCAATAGAGAATGTAATATACTTATAATTCTTATAAAAAGTATGTACATTTTTAAAGACAAATGAATGTACATTTTGAATCTGATGATAAGTGTATGTTTATTTTTTTTTAATAGTTAGTAGGAAAGAAGCATTCAGCAGGTGTTAATTTCACAACATTTTACAAACAAATTCTTCATTTACCATGATTTTGCAGCCATGCGAGTAGTGAATATCCAAATTTAAGAATGAAACTTCATAGTTTGTTCAATTTCCTAACAAATTCCAAAATTATAAGTTTCTGGGTTAGTTTAGCTCTCAGAGAACTAATTTTCTAATTACTTTGTACGGTCATATACAGACTGTAACTGCTATGATTTAAATGAAGCTTAGCCATAGTATAGTACAATCTCTTCGTTTAGAGCACTTTCCTTCTCTTACACCATAAATATGGTAGCAATGGGACATTGTCTGTGTAATAAACTCATCAGAATCGCTAGATTCGCTGGTGAAAATGCCCCCTCCGAATCACTTTCCGAAAAATCTAAATTTTCATTAACATCAGAATTAAAAACATCTGACTGAAACCATTTCAGAGCTTCGGCCGCAGAAAGATGCATTCTGCGACCTGTACTTGTGGTTGGAACATTGGTATTCATGACACTCGAAAACGGACTTAGAAAATGCACTGTTGAAAAAAAATTCGCTGTCAAATTATGCACGTGTGGTTTAGGCTAGGAAATGAAACTAAAAGAATTTTGGCAGAGTGACTTTCCCTGAATAGTTTAATCGTACCTCCGAACATTTGAAACTAGTACTGAGGCATGTGCGGAGCAAAATGTAAGGGACACACGATCGACTATGACAGCTTTGTTTGGGCAAAACAGAACTTCTCAAACAACGCTCACACCGTTGCTTGGGCCTTAAAGAGTTAAGATGGTTCTTCCGTCTATATTTTGCATGGTCTTCCCTATTCTTCCATCTCTATGCTCTTTATATTTTTACATTGTGGTTATCTATGGTAGCTGGTACCAGGAAATTTCTGTCATGTGGCTGGACAATTTAATCTGTATTGAACACCATCACCTTAAATAACTATGATTTTAATACATACAGTGACTTTCCGCTCTGGCCTTTCTTCTTCTTCTTCTTTCGTTCGCCTGAAATAAGTTATCTATATCAGCAGTTTTGTCTCTTGTATAAATTTCACTGTCGTTGTTAGTTCATTCAGTGGTCCATAGAGTTTACGTTCCACTGTTGTTCTTTCTGGCCAAAAGGTTTGCCTTAATGTGTCAAATTCGGTGCAGTCCTGGAGTACATGCTCTGTGGTCTGGGGCACATTTCCACAGGTGCACATGGCTGATACACCTATCTTGAATTTTGTGTACATGTGGTTACGTAATCGGTTGTGCCCTGTTCTGAGGCGGAAGATAATGACTTGTTCTGGTCTGTCCATAATAAAATAGTCATCTTGTGCTGGGGCTGGTGGTTTCCTGATCGATTTAATGATTCTTTTCTTTTGGTGGTATGTGACTGGTACATCTGGCTGCTCTTTTTTCGCACCTTCCCCTGCCAGTTGATCAGCTTTCTCATTTCCAGGCACTCCACAATGAGACGGTATCCACTGCATTACGACTCTTCGCTGAACGCTGAGTTGTGTCAGCAGTGTTTGCAATTCTGGTAGTTTCCTAGACTGGAGTGCTTCAAGTACTGATTTAGCATCTGTAAGCATTACCACATACTGTAAGCCAAGGTTGGTATTTAGCAGTTTCTCTGTAGCTATCTTAATAGCCTGGGTTTCTGCATCGTGGTTATGGCAGTACTTCCAGGTTGGTACGCTGGACTTATCCCTAGTACCATCTGGGAATTCGATGTACACTCCAGCACCACCATTTCTAACTGCACTTTCTGCGGACCCATCTGTATAGACTCTGACCCATTGTTCTTGTGGGTATTCTTCATCAATATAACTGAGGGTGGCCATTTTGCGTTGTACACTATCTTGCTCTTTCTTGTCAAATATCCCTTTCACATTTGTCTGGATTTGTACCGTTAGTTTACATTTTTCTCTCCATGGGGTTTGTTCCGGAATACTTTTTAGTGGGCAGCCAATTTCTGGAAGGTCAGGAGTTTGTCTACATATTCTTTTTGCTTGGTGTATAAAGCTGCTTCTTTTTAACCGTCCCAAGGCTAGGTTCTTAAATCTATTTTCCATCAGGTGATCTGGCATACTGAGGAACTTTTCAGCTTGTATTTGCAACTTTGTATCTCTGCGTTCTCTCAGTGCCTGTGTTTTCCCAGCTTTCTCCATTTCTAATATGGGGGTTGATTTCATCCCTCCTGTGATGACTCTGAGCGCTTGATTTTGCACTTTGTCTAACTCCTTTAATGTGGTACTAGATGCTGAACACCATGCAGTTGACCCATATTCCAAGTGTGGAAGTATGCTCTGCTTGTATACTTTATTGAGTATTTTCCCATCTGCTCCCCATGTGGTTCCACTTAGTTTTCTTAGTATTGCTGTCTTCCTCCTGGCTTTGGTTGCTGCCTTGTTGATATGTTTTCTCCATGTCAACCTGTCATCAAATGTGACTCCTAGGTATGTGGGCTCTTTATCATCTCTCAGGGGTATTTCGTTTATTTTGATGGTGCCGGCTTTTTGCTTTGGGGAGAGGGTGAATAGTGTGGTGCTACATTTGTCTGTGTTGATGCTGACACACCATCTATTGGCCGATGCCTCAAGTGCATTTGTAGCCCGCTGTAGTGTTTTTGTGGCTATCGTTGCATGTTCATTGGTGCACCACAGTACCAGGTCGTCGGCGTACATTGCCATTTTGATTCCATTTGGTATCTCAGCAACCAGATCGTTGATAAATAAAAGGAAAAGTGTGGGCGACAGGACACCACCTTGAGGGACGCCTTGTCGCAGTAGAACTTTTTTACTGGCCTTTATTTTATGAGACCAAAGTTTAGCCCAGAACCACTGTACTAACGGGAACACATTCATCCTGGTACTTATTGAGGATTTTACCAACAATATACTTGTAGGTGAGTGTACTAGCTACTACACCACCATGGCTCGAAATCTGTGGTCTCCAGCATTTTCTCTGAGTAAATAGTCATTCTCCCCCCCCCCCCCCCCCCCCCAAAAAAATTCCTTTTTCCATCACCCTCATCTAAACAAAATGTGATTAAAAATAAGACAGAAAAATCACAAGTACTGTTAACAAGAACTTGCAGAACAATGTGCACATAATTACGGTGTCAAATAACAAAGAAACAATCACTAACAACTGGTAATTTAGTGCTCTCAATATCACTGTGATAGTTGACACTGTTTTATCTTGATAATGTCTGCTATATTTGGTCTGATGTTAGGCAAGGCACAAGGGTGATCCCACTCCATATTAAGCTGCCAGTGTTGTGGTTTTAATGTTACACACACACACACACCCTTCCCAGTTTGGAGACCACTGCTCTAAATGGAGATAATGCTTTGATGATGTTGATTCTGATTAAACATTGACAAGTTATAAACTCGGCACAACTTGGTGGAATATTGATGCATGATAAGGCAGACGTGGTTGGGGCCTTGTGTGAGAGCTTGTACAGTTCGGTGGAGCGGCTGGACCATCACAGTCTGGAGAGATTGATGCAGCGGGAAGTGACAAGGGGTTCTGGCTGATGCTCAAGGCTCAGAGGAAAGGCAAGACGGATGTTTAATCAGAATGCTACTGGCACCATTAGTATTGGAACCTGGCTGCTGAAGATAGGGACTGAGTGCTTATTGGAATGCCCCGAGTGCTGTGATGTCGGGTCTTGAAATAACTGAAGTTATAAACTGAGAACTCAGATGATACCTGAAAATAAGACTATAAAAACAGTAAGTATCTTGATATTTCATTTTACAGCAGTGTTTTGGAAGCCTTTAAAACAGCAGATTTGCTTCTTGGAATTGGAATGTTCAACTCATTTATTACAGGCCATCTCAAGGCAGGGTATGATACCTTTCAAAACCATGTTTTTCTGTGCATTTTTAAACATGTGTTTTGCAAATAGTCTTAAATGAAATGTTTATCTGGGAGCCACAGGCTTTTGTTGCCTGGTCCCATTTTGTTATTTTAATAGCAATCCCACTAGAAATTACATGGATACATTACTATCTTCTCTCCCCCCCCCCCCCCCCCCCCCCCAAGAATAGACCCACTGCCTGTCCAAAAGCATGTCGTAAGAGTCGACTAATTGGGAGCTTCTTTTGAAGTCGAAGTGCATCTGCCCGAGAGGCAAAGAACCAGCAGTCTATACTCAAATGTGTCAGATCTGTCAAATGGATGCGCACGCAACATTCAGGTTCTGGAACAGGACTACAGTCCAGAAGTGGACAAACAACCAGAACTTTCCACCAGAGTCTACAGCTGGTGAACGCAAAGAAGAAGAAGAAGATTACTATTTCCCAGCTTCTGGTATCTTCATCATTTTTCCATACCATAGTGCCAAATTGTTTCTTCTTTTTTAGTCTTCTGTCTCTTCCCATCCAGCTTTCCTTTTCTCACAAAAAGGAGATTGACTTCTGTGTTGCTTACTGATTTACTTGTATACCATACCGTTACACAATTTATGAAAGTCACAACAGAAATTAAGCAGTTCCAGCATAACATAATAAGAGACTCCATCTCACCTTATAGCTTACCATTGGTAATAGTGAAAAAGAAGGACACAATGCTACATTTGTGTGTGGATTATAGAAAATTAAATTGCATTAGGAAATTGGTTTCAGAACCTATTCTGGGCGCAGAGGATTTCTATTCTCCAGAACTTGTACAAGTCTAAATATTGTTTTTACTGGGGGAGGGGGGGGGGGTGTACTGCCTCTGCAGGTGGGAGATGACACCTGTTCTGAGGACATACAGTATCTTGTGAAATTAAGCTAGTCAACAAATGCCAGGAAGAGTCATGTGTGTTAACCAAAATTCATAGATATTGTACATTTGCTGTAAAGAGGCATACATCCTCATTCAGAAGCAACAAATATTGAGCAAAGAACCTGGGCAGATGAAGCTCAAAAGCCCTGAAAGGCAATTCATCTCCATGAAGGACACGAATGCCAAACCACCACTGCCTTGTGTGAAGTTCCTGTAAGAACAAAGGCTATGGCAACAAAGCCCGACAGAAAATGTGGGTAGGCAGAGCTCATAAGCCCTGGAAGGCAATCAGCCTATGGGAGGGGGAATCCTGAAAAAAAACCTTAAACGTCGAAGTCAGAAGATGTCAGCCTACTTGGCACGGGACTAAAAATCGGGCATCTACGCACTAGCGATATGATCATGCAAACAACATTACTCAATGTTTAGCATGACTGATGTCGAACGCAGAAGATGAAAAAAGAAGATGAGCAAAGAAAAAAACACAGTGTCTTGTTTGTATGTATATTCACTGCACACTCGGAACATTTTGTTGAATTTGTCAAGTGTAATAAAAGAAAAAAAATGCTTTAGAAAAGAAAGGTACACTGAAAGTTTTTACCCAGAAAATATACATTTGTTTCCCTATTTGCTGTAGTCTGCTTTCAGTGTAAGCAGAATGATATTGATATAAACATTGATAATCATCATGCATTTATTTACACAGCGTGTTCATTTCAAATTTCAGGTCTCCAGAAGAAGCTCTTAACATTTTAGATGTCATGAGGTATGAAGGATTTAATAACGCTAGGCAGAAGTGCAGAATGTTTTGGATCTCTTAAAAGATTTGTCAGATCTACATAAATTATTATGGATGAACTGTATTTCTAGTGTTGGGCTGTTTGTGTTGGCACTTCTGCCTTATGCATTTGATGCGCATGTATGTCGTTGGATTTGCTAAGACTGGTGTCTGTGTTATTTTTTTTTAACAAGGGACAGTGGTGGACATTCTGTGTGGTTTTCTTTGGCACAGGAGCGGAACAACTTTGAGGTGACTCATTTGCTCTAAAGTTGGAACTACAATTACCTGGTTATTATAGATCATATATGTTTTGAAGTATTGCTGTATATAGAAACATATAATCACTGAAGATCGCCCGTGTGTCACCAGGACTCTCATGGGAGGCAAATAATGGTAACACTACCAGGCATGTCGAAAGGGTTGACTAAGGGTAGGGTTGGGCTTTAGGTTTGTTACCTCATCCTGTAAAAACAGTAGCCACTAAAACCAGATGGTGAACATGTCAGTTATACAGTTTGGTAATGATGATACTATGTGTTAACAAAAAAGTACAGAACCTTTATAGCTGATTGCTTTTGAGAATTTGGCTTCTTTTATGGCTAGTCACTTTTATCACAGAAATTTCAGTTGCTCAGTACACACAGGTTTTATGCTTACTGTATTTACATTGGCGTTGACAGGTCCAGAGGGCTGACTCCAGATTCTGACAGTTACTTTAGATTTGCCTTACACTATGCTGAGGAAGGAGACATTGATTCTGTTGTCAAGGTAAGTCATTTCCATATGCTACATTCCACGTCCTTCTTTCTTTTTTCTGTTCGTTTAAATGTCAGGTTGTCACAAACTATTGTTTAAATTGAGAAGGGTTGGGAATAACACACATGGCTCGTAGCGGGCCTTAAAACCTATGAAAAGTTGGGAAATGCAAGATCCCTCTCAAGGTCTAGAGAAAACTCAGGATTTTCATGAAAACTGATAAAAATCCTGGATCTTTACCCACCAGTCCTGGAACTTTGCACACCGTATCCGGGACACAGATAATAAAATGAGAATTTCCTGTAGTTTTTTAGCGGTGGGACTTTTTACAGTTAAAGTTTTTGTGGTTATACCACTGTTTGATGATCGTCGGTAAACTGCGCTGGCAAGAATGTGTTTTGAATATTGGGCAAGTAATAGCTGGTTTGCAGTCTCATTGTTTACAGTGATGACACACCCTGGGTGGCCGCACCCCTCCCCTCACAGTGATGAATCCTAGGAGTGGCCGCACAACTCCCCTCACAGTGATGAATCCTAGGAGTGGCCGCACAACTCCCCCACAGTGATGAATCCTAGGAGTGGCCGCACAACTCCCCTCACAGTGATGAATCCTAGGAGTGGCAGCACAACTCCCCTCACAGTGATGAATCCTAGGAGTGGCCGCACCCCTCCCCTCACAGTGATGAATCCTAGGAGTGGCCGCACCCCTCCCCTCACAGTGATGAATCCTAGGAGTGGCCGCACAACTCCCCTCACAGTGATGAATCCTAGGAGTGGCCGCACAACTCCCCTCACAGTGATGAATCCTAGGAGTGGCCGCACAACTCCCCCACAGTGACGACTCCTGTACCATTATTTTCAAAGGTTCACAAATTGAGGAAGCAGGCCTGTCTTACATTTAGCCCTTCCAAACACCCATCTTTCACACAGCAGTTTTTTTTTTTTTTTGGGTGATGATAGGAGCTGGGAAAAGTGACGTCACTTAGATTTTCCAGTTCTGCTTTTGGCACAACTTATTCTACAAGCTCTCAGTGTTCTCTTCCCCCATATCTTTCCTCTTCTTTTCTCTACTCTCGCCTGTCTTGGATTTTGCACTCTTCTACCTCTCTTATTCTTTCTGGCTCAGTAAGCCCTTGAACATGGCAAAAATACCTTGCCAGTATTACCGCGACACAACCTTGAAAAATAACGAATAATACCTTGAAAAGCCTTGAAATTGATTGGTAAATTTGGTTACCAACCCTGAACATACCTTACTGGATATACCTCTAGTGAATGATAACTTTTAGTGATGGCAGTAATTATTAGAAATGTGCACAAACCTTGCCACCAATATCACTGTTAAACTCTACCTTTCAGCCAGAATGGCATCTGCAAATTTAACCCATCTACATGTCACAGTTTATGAGGAGTTCGTTGACTGTAAATATACAGCTAGACGTGACAGATACATGGATTTTATGTTTTATTGTATAGATTTATTATCTTTACATATAATTGATTGCTATGTCTATGTTCCTACTTATGTTACCACATAAATTGTAACAGTAATCTCCTGTTGTTTGCAGTACATAAATGAAGCAGAGAGCAAAGGAGTTTTCTTGGATTTCTCTGCATTGTTGGAATTGTACAGAACAATGATCGCCTCTGGACATTCCAGCAAAACTGCACAAGTATGTGTCATTGTTTTTGTTTTTTCCATTTACGTTTGGACATTTGGTAAAAGAATAATTTTAAATCAGTGGTATGATTTCTTTGTCTGACTGCAGTGGTTTTCTTTTCTTTCTTTTAAATTATTAAATAATTTTTGGCAATTTTTCTTCTTTTAGCACACCGATTTTCTCCAAAAATCTCATTGTTAAACTAAAATTATGCCTCTTTGATGCTTATGTATTTGTTTTTTTCTGTGAAACTAACATGCAAATGTGTTAATGATTTTTCAGAATAACATTGTGTCTGTTTTTCATTTTATTCATGAAATTAAACTGATTTTATGTTTTTTAGCAATTTTTACATTCATAATGTATGATGAAGAAACAGTCATCGCACTTAAAGAAAGTGCTTAGTCACTTAAGGCAAGTGCTTAGTCTTTCCCAGATGGAGCATAGGCCCTCAACCAATTCATGCTAAGTCATCTTATCCTTTTCTGTTGTGTGCAACTTACCTCAAGTCCTCCCTGGCCTATTCACTTTGATCTTAATTCTCATCTCCATATCTTTATTTTTCCCTAAACAACCTGGTTCTTAAAAATGTTGAATGTGTTGATTTATATATGAAATAAAGAATACCAATGGCACTGACAGAAAAACATGAGGCTTGGCAGAGTGTGAGAAATAAATGTAAGTGGCAGACTTGGTACCCAAAGAGTAAAGGGGGAGATAGACAATATGTTACCTGCATGGCTTGGCCACATGATACGGTCAGGACAAAAATACAGACTTGATCCATGTTATTGCAGCTTTCTCCTTGCAAAATAGGTACTAGATCAATTATCTTTCAGTTGCTAGAAGTTCAGGGTTTTGTGTGACCAAGTGTGCTGTAACAGTTGACATAACTACATATTGGGAATTCCCTTGTCACCTCAGGGCCTCTGATGCAGCAGTCATCCCAAAGTATCTCTGTTCTCATGAGCAGTTTGTTAAATCTCCTATCTTGACCTCGAAGATTGCATAGATTTTCTTGGCCTGGTCACTTAGTCATGTTAGCTTCAGAGGCTTGTCCATGTCTGCTGGTCATTAGGTCTAGTGGTTCCTAGTTAGCTTTGACCTGTCGACCCCTCTTCATTTCGAAGGTCTGCCATGGACCCAATATTTTGTAATTGTTGTACTGGAGAACTTAATATAATTTATAAATCTTAGAAACACAGAAAAGATCAGAATTCAGTTTTTGTGAGCGTGTGGTGAATTTTTTGGGGCACATGAAACCCTTAAATTGGTTCCACGAACCTCCAGATGGGAAACACTGGTCAAGACCATACATAATTGACTATATTAGCTTTGTCTGTGCTTCTTACCATTTATTTGTATTAGTGCAGTCAGCCTGGGGATCAACCGGCCTTGTAAACTAGATACTGGATAATTATCTTGTGATGTTGACCACATCACCCACTGAGTGCTAATTATTGGTTTATAAAATATATGTCTAGCCCTGTCTGCCCAATATGCCCAAAGGTGGGGGAAGGATTGTTTACTTTTTATATTCATCTTGCAAGGGACATTGACCAGAAAAAAGAAGTCGTCACCAATAAAATTCAAATGTTGCAGAAGAGGTGATATTGGGGTGGCTGTTTTACCCAGCGATAGTTTGCCCGTCTCTCTAGCGTAGTTGGCTAAACCGGACTGCGCGATGAGCTGGTGACGAACTCCTTGTGGTCCAGGTTCACTCCCGGGGGTGGGCAGAAAAGCCACATTTCTCCCAGATTTACGGTATTTAAAATGGAATCAAGGCCGAAAGGTTGCGATATCCATAATACCGAGCCTAAGGGTTAACAAACTCATCGCTTCTGGATACTAAAACAAACAAACAAACCCAGCGATAGTTTAAGTCTGATTAATTTCTTGTAACACTTGGTGTTAATCTTGCAACTGTTACAATTATCCACAGCTCTTGAAAATCATATCGGAGAAAGGTGTTGTCTTTGACTTAACCCTGCAGAAGTCGTGCCAGCTAGCATCTGAAGGATACAATGAGGCAGCCTTCCAGCTGTACACAGCCATGCCTAAAATTGATGGTGATAAGCAACAAAAGAAAGATGGCAGTTTCCTATTGAAAGCGATGATTATCAATGGACAGGTGAGGGTGCTGAAGCAGTGTGAGATACCAGCATGCCTGTCTAAATGTGAGATAGATGACACTCTCCCCGTTTTGATTCTGTGTCACAGTGGGGAGAATAACAAGTTAGTGGAGACACATTACTACTTAACAAGGATGTCCTAAAAGGTGACCGATTAAGACTTTGCTGAAATCAGATATGTTGGCCAAAAAGGGGCAGATATCACAGCCTAGCTATAAACCACAAGTTGCCAACTGCCTTATAAGGGTAATTGATGAAGAAGAAGCTCTACTCCTTTATTGTAATGCAGATTTTTAAATGAAACAAAAATCATGATCTGTATACATATTATGTGCTATATTTGTGTTTGTATGTCTAATTTAATAGGACATTGCTATTTTAAATACACGTTTATAACTGAATGTAATTGTTCTAATTTATTACTAATTTAATATTTTTTTAAACACTTATCTTCTGTTATTGATTTGTTTTATATACTATAACCAGTAATACAAAAACAAAAATAGTCATAACCAGGTTGTGATTCTCTGCAACAAATTTCATGTGCATATAGTAAGAAAAAAAGAATGTGTGGTTATCGGCAAGTTGCATAGCAATCACTAAAGCACCATATCAGCAAAACAGCCATTGACTGATGTAGTTACAGTTTAAAACTTTCCGCTGACCTCATTTTCTGAGGGTTAGATTGATTTCAGGCTTCATGCTCTGGTTGGCAAGTGTGAGTGTTTCCGAGACTTTTTTTTTAATGCTACAGTTTGTGATTTGTGTGACTCACTTGTGGACAACCAACCACTATGTGAAGAGAGACCAAGTCGTATAGGGAAACACCTGATGCAGTGAGATTAATCTTTTTGCCTTTAAACACATGTTATTTTTATTTAGTGCTAGATTGTGTACATTTTTTACATGTACTGATATAACTATAGACACGTGTATCTATCTATCAATACAGGCTGCAGAAGAAATTATGAAAGTGGCAGAAAAAATTGCAGAGTCTAATTTCAGAGCTCAACCACACAGCTTTGCTTTATTGTATGCATATAAAGCAGGAAACACAGGTAGAGCTATATATTTTAGTTTCTGATCAGGGTATGATGTAAAGTGTTTCCATCTTATGAGTTTTAGTGGGCTGGCGCACATATTATTCTTGATGCACAGATTTTTGACATTTGGTCTAATGATAAAATTGTGGGATGGTAAAGAAATTTAGGCTCCCTCACAGTTGATAAAATATATTGTGTTCTTTCTCATCTTAGATGCAGCATGGTATTGAGGTTAATACTTTGTTATTTTGTGTGTATGTGAGAGGTTTTTTATATAAATATTTATGTATATACTGTGTGTCCGTAAAGTCATGGTGTACTTTTGATATAATTTTTCTCTGTACCGTTCACATCCCGACTGGTGTGGGCAGGGGCTGATCCACTGTTGTGCAGTTTGGGGTGTTGCGTCATCACCTTTGTGCGCACATGCTTGCACATCATACTACGAAACTTGGAGAGTTTTTCTTTTTTATTTGATCCAGATTTTACATTTCTATCTTCTTTTGTCGTTTTCTGTGACTGGACAAAAGTGCGCCATGACTTTATGGATATATATATGTATGGTTGCTGATTTATATATTTAGTTAACCGTTTATTCTCCTAAATTTGCTACATTTAGTTGTACTCTTGATTCTAATTTTGTCACAAGTGATCTTTTTTGTATTTTGAATTGGTAGATGTTAAGACCTAATGCTTCACAGCACTGCTACATTAGCTTCAGTGAGATAACATTACATGGTCATTGGGAAGTTTGCCATGCTATTCTTGAGTGCTGCTCTGTCTTGGTAGATTGAACCTTATCTCCAATAGGTCTTCTATTTTTGCTCACCCGAGAGGAGCATAGACCCACAGCCAGATCATGCCAAGTTGCCCTATCAGTTTTACCCTATCATGCAGTTCACCCCATGTCTTTCCACATCCTTTTTGCCTCAATGTCAAGTTCTCTTTTCCATTTCCTTTTCTTTCATGGAGTAGGGGTCCCTTTATTTCTATGTCCTGTCGTTTAAAGGGTAATGACGATTTCAGCATAGTATTATCTTTGTTTTCCATGTGTATCCAGCAGCAGCGTTTTTTTCTCACCTTTTCATTCATTGGATTTTGTTTCGCTTTAGCCAGTTTCGCGTAAGGGATTTTGTCAGGCCATTTAATTCCTTCTAATCTGTGCAGGCACCAGTTAGTGAGTGATTGTATTGTATGTAATATGCCTAAACGGTATGAAAAATTGGTACATATAGCAATTTAAGAGAGTTAGAATCAAAGCAATGTGTTTCTAATTCATTATGCATTTCTCGACCAATGAACAGATTTGGCAGTAGAGCTGTTGGAGCACATGAAGGCCAAGGTGAGCAGTTCAGTTATTCAATACTTTCAGTACATTTAATTCATCAACTGTTTCAGTACTAAGCAACTCACCATGCATTTGTTGCTTCCTATCAACATCTGCTTATCTGACCTCCTGATGTCCCATGCAATTGTTACATGAATTCACCCTGCCCCAGTTGTTGCTACAACTCTTCTGCCTCTCAAGTTGTCATGTATTCCTTGTAGACCTGAAGGGGTATTAGTTAAAATAACAACTTTTTAAGTTATAACAAGATATATTAACACTTGTTTAGGACAGAGATAGAGAGTGAACCAGAAGCTAGTTAAGGTTTTTTCATTTTTTTCTTCCTACCACTCATCACCCTTTTCACCCCCCCCCCCCTTCTCCTCTCTCTGCTTTACATTTTAGTTTTAAATATATACACACACACACACTGATCTATATATCTGGGTATGTGAGAGAGAGAGAGATAAAGAACCTGTTATCATTCCTGAGACATATGATGCTGACCCTGTATGTTTATAGGTCGTTCATAGCCTGTGATTTGGTCATTATCATGATGGTTGCCGTTACTTCACAGAACATTTCCAGTCCCATTTTAGGATGTGTTGACCAGGGAGCTAACAACAAGTTTTAAAATCCATGTCAGATGTGATTCAAACACATGACCACCGGCTGACAGGTAATCCTGCTTTCCACTGCGGTGCCACAGCTTACAGCTGTATAATGCTGCCAGAATTTGGCTTGTCCGCATGCATGTTACACAGTCAGTCTGACAAATGAGATTGATTTGTTTCTTCTACAGAGCATTGAAATTAAAGTGCCACATGTTACTCCAGCAATTGTTGGCTACAGAAAAACAAAAAACACAGAAGGTCAGTAATTTGTCTTTCAAAGCTGTTCCATATTGACCTTGTTGCTTGTTGAATTTACACTGTTTTGTTGATTGATAAAGACTCTCGATTGATAAAGACTCTGGTAAAATTGTTTGATTTTATTTGTGGAAATGTTTCCTTTCCCTCCATTGGGCTTAAAGATCATCCTTTGTTTTGTAGTTTGGTATTTCTTCATCGCAGAATGCATAGTTAGGTGCGGTCTGGTCTCTTAAGGTGAGAAATGGAGGAGAAGAAGAAATATAAACATTGCCGATATGTTGAATTAAGAATTTATATCACAGCACTCGGGATACTCCGATAAGCATTGCATCCCCATCTTCAGCAGCAAGTGAAGAGTTCCAATTTCGATGGCACTAGTAATTATCTGATTGTATATCTGTCTCGCTTTTCCCTCAGTGTTAAACGTTGGCCAGATCCTTTGGTAACTCCTCGCAGCGCTTTTTCTCCTCGGACCATAATGATCTATTTGTGCCTGCACACTGTTCACTCACTCCCAAAGGGCCCTCACACATTGCTGAAATAATAAATATATTTTTATACATCTTTTCCTTTCCTGGTGGTATTATCTTCTTTTATGTAAAGCTTGCTTTTCAAATTCTCTAGGTTTGTACAAAGTCATTCGCACACTTTTGGAGATAAATGGAAACCAGGGCATAGATGATACTGTGGAGTGTCTTCATACATTTGGCTACCCAGCACTGTCTGCACTAAAAGAGACCAGAGAGAACATTGTGAAGAACTTTCAGGTAAACATGTTTTTAAAAAACATACTTGATAACATGTTAGATTCTTTCTTCTTCTTCTTAAAGTCTGTGCCCTGTGGTATTGTTAGTCATGTCTATACACAACCTTCTATCTCGCGTACTTTCAGTCATCTTTGATAAAAATGATTGTCCATGCTATGATGTCAGACTGTCCAGCATCTTTTCTCTCGGTCTCCCTCTGCCTCTTCTCCCCTCCAACTTTCCTACTGTCACAGTGTACTCAAGTTTTCTCCTCCTCACATGACCAAAGATTCTTTCTAGTAGAAAGTAAATATATAGCATCTGACTCTTACTTTAACCCACTTAGGAAACCAATTTATGCTAGAGCAGATTCTTGATGCAGTCGTTGTGGGTGCCATAGTTATAACTTAAGGTAGCCAGTGGTATCTGCGATTGACATATTGGATTGGCATTCACTGTGCATCTCTTCAGGTTCAGGTTGTGGCCCAGAAGGTGAAACACAGTAAGTAAGAAATGTGAGATTGGAATTGGATGCATGGACAAATATTTAATAAAGACACTAAACATTTCAAGACAGCAGGCTCTAGAATTGGGAGTTTGGAACGCTCTTTCGTTTAACAATTAAACTATTTAAAATAAGTTAACTCAGTGAAATCCTTTATTTGCATGATTTTATTCCACTGATACTTTAAGTGATATGGGGACCACTGTTGGCCTGGTTTCCTGCAAGTTGTAAACAAAAAAAGTAAAGGTCTCTTCTCACACCTTTGGCACACTGGGGATATGGTGCTAGACAGATTGTTCCAGACCCGTCTGTGCACAAACGATAAGGTGGTAAACATCATGCCAGCTGCTTTTACTTCCGCATTATCTGTTACCCATTTTAGGTTTGGTTGATCTGAGAAACATTTGTGGAAAGAGACAGAGGAAGACAGGGCAAGAAGATTCTTCACTTCCTTTTGTCATGGCATGGAGGGGTGTCGATACACTAGCCAATAGACGCAGTTGCAGACCGCTGATTTTGGAGAGGCATCGCCCACACCAGTTAGCAAGGCACTTGATGATGATGATGATCTGGGAGCCAAGATCATTTTAAAAAAAAATTGATTTGATGCTGATTTTAGCCCTAAACCTCTAGGCCAGGAGGAAAGCATCTAGCCGCTGTGCTACTATAGTCCTATGGTAGATACTAAGAGTCCTCTATATGATATGCATTGTCCTATAATAGATACTGCTGTTGAGATGTGTGAGGTGTTAAGTGGCTGCTTCCGATCCTCAGCTTTCTTTCACAGAAAATTGTGGACACTACCTGGGCTGAAATAATCCTGTCACTCCTGGGGACAAAACCTGGACCACTGTCCCTGGAGGCTGGTGCACTAACCACTGCCATCCCATCTGAGGATACTGTCATAAACAACATCTTTAACTCTCTCCGTCAGACTTAAAAAGTCAGCACAGTTTAATCCTTAATTAAATTAATGTAATATTTTTTTGTGTATGAAAATAAATAATCAACTGCCATGGGTGATGATGCTTATCCTGTTTGTGATCTCCAGCAGCATATGTCATTTCCTGTGATGTCTTCCTCTCTCTTTTCCCACAGTGGTTTCAACCCGTTCCAGTTTTATCTTCCCATAACATGACCCAAAAAACAATGACTGTCTCTTTCTAATGTTTGTGATAAGTCTAGCCATCACTTCTTAAAAAATATCTGGGTTGCTCTTTTTGGCTGTCCAGTAATTCTAAGGATTCTTACCTAAAATTGCATCTTTCAGGCCTCAAGAAATTGACCTTAAATGTTCTTCATTTAATCAAATGCAGTTTTATCCTTTCCTTTTTTTTTTTTTTTTTTTTTGAATCTCTGTAAAATATCATCCGACAGATGGTTTTTTTTTTTTAAATTAAAATTAAATACCAGTAGTTATTACCAGTCGGCGTCTGTGACTTAGGCGTTACGAACGAGCTTCGTAATGCCAGGGTGCCGGGTTCGATCCCAGTTGCGGGCCTTGCGTTGGTTTCGACAGTGGTATCGAGAAGCCGACCGTCCTGAAAGCAATGGCAAACTACTGGACATAAACTTGCCTAGGAAAACCACCACAGCCAAAAAATGCTGGGGTTGGTTCTGCAATGTCTTGTATAGGATAAGTAACAAATTAAAAAATTAAGTTATTACCAAGGATTTCAGATTTTAAGATTTTATACATTGATGGCAACTTTGTTCCATTCTTGAAAATTTTCAGGACTATGAGAAATCCTGGAATTCAGTTTTTTTCATAAATGATCTGACAGAAAGTTACTCGGCCGCTCTTAGTAACGGTGAGAAATCTTTTATATTTGACTAAAGTGAGGTTGTTTCCTAATGTGTGTATGTATGTGAGAAAGTTCATTTGTCTTGTTTAAATCAAGTTTTCCTGCGGGGCGTTACTATGTCTGTGATGGTCAGTCATTAACCGTCACATACACAGGGTCATAGTATAATAAGAATAGTTGCTCAGTTTCATTCCAGATCCTTTTTTCTTCTCAGAAAGTTTTCTTCTTCTGTGCATTCACCTGCTGTGAACTGTGGCTAAAAGTTCTGATTATTTATGCACTTCTAGATTTTAGTCTTGTTCCAGAACCTGAGTTTTGGGTGCACATCCCCCCCCCCTCCTCGCCCTTTAAAAAAAATGTCTTCACCTGTCAGAGGTACCCCGACTTTGAAAGAAACAGCCTGAAAAGGTCAGCTGTTATGACATTCTTGTCAGGAGGCAGGCGGACTATTATATTTTCTCCTCACAGTGAGGCCCCAAAACCACATCTAGAAAGTTGTTTAGATTGTCATCTTTGCAAATTCTTATTACTGATATATTTTCGAATTTAAACATTAAAATTGTTTTAATATGTTGATAAAATTGATATCAGTGGCTTAGTGGTTATGGATGTAGTGTCTTAATTCTGACATATCTGGTTCGCTTTAGCTGCAGGTGATGTGGCAGCTGGCCACTTCATGTTGATTTTAGTGTTTAGTGTTGACTGTCAGCCATTCAGAAAGCAACCTCAAACTGCTCTCTCTCTCTCTCTCTCTCTGTCTATCTCTCTCTTTTTCTCTCTGTCTCCCTCTGTCTCTCTCTCTCTGTCTCTCTCTTTCTGTCTCTCTCTCACACACACACACAAAGAAAGAAACGTGGTCTAGTAAAGTCACAAACAGCCAATAAATGCTGGGGCAGGTTTGCAACATGTAAAGGATCATTTATCCTAATGAAACTAGTTTTATCTCCTTTTTTTTCCAGCTGCAGGAAAAGAATTGGATTCCAGGTTCTTCCTTCAGTGGTATGACTTTGATGCTCACTTGATAAAGAATTTGGAGAAAGACTCAACATCTTTTGCAGATGTAAGTGCCTTTTGTTTTTGTATGTTCATTAACATCATGAGTCACAATGTTTTTGTTTCTTATTAGTGTTTGCTGGTGAAGGATTGTCATTCCAACATCTTTTATTTGGTTATTTTACATGTGTTCAGTAAACTGACGACATGTATTCGGATTTTTAAAAAAACAAAAACATTAAAACAAGAGGCATCCAAGCACATAAGTCACTATGATTAAAACATCTTAAAAACTTACAGAGAAGGAAATAATGTGCATCTGTTGAGCTTGTTTGTTTACCTTACAGTTATTCATAAATCTATTTAAAATGTCAGTCCTTAAGGAAGATAGGGGCTTTTGAGATGAAATGTTACAGACTTAGAAGAAAAGAAATACTGACATCAAAAAATATCTGAACATCAAAGAAGATTTGCTAGTAAACAGCATCTTGCCTTGGAAACTTAAATATTTTGGCTATATCAAGCACCACGGTAGATTTAAACAAAAATAGTAGCAGAAGGCAGGGTACCATTAAAAAAGGGACTGGCCTGCCAACACAAAGATAGATACAGGTTGGCGGTGAAACCTTGGGTAGGAAAGTTGACGAGGTGGAGAGCTGGTGAAAGACTGAGTTTCTTTCGGGCAGACCATGGTGAGAATGACATTCTGCAAAAGTCCCACTACATGATGTGTCAGCAAGCAAACAGTTTGTTTCTTGGAACACAGATATACTACAACATCAGACCTACAGCCAAAATCTGGCACCTTCTCATATTTATCTGTTTCTAAAATTACAGTTATTTAGTATATATTTCTGTATATTTAGATAGTTCCATGTGCATTTCTGTATCAGTAGACTGCACTAATATGTTCTTGTGCTTGAGTTTGTGTGCAGCCTAACATTTTCATTTCTGAAACTCCACCAGGTCCTGGTTTACCTTGGCCAACATGGATCCATGAAGAAGGACAAGCTGATGTCACTGTGTGGCTTTGTGTTCGTTCACTTAGCTCAGAACAGGAACTGGGATTTGCTCAACAAAATTCTCACAGAATTCCAAGAAAAGGTAATAGTGTGGCTGTATTTGGTTTGACTTTGTCTTGTAACATTTTACTGGCAGTCACTAAAAAAATTTTTTTTTATTTCGCACTTTGGAATGTAGCCTGATGATTTCACACCCCGTGACTCAAAGAGTTACTTTTCTGAAACAGATTCAGCAGGAACAAATCCAAGACACTCTTTTTCTGTATAAGAAACTTATATTACATCTACACCAAGTAGCCTGTTGTCTGTTTAGGTGGAGAGGTGTGGTTGTAGTTAGTTCCCTTGCTGAATGCCAGTGCCGCAACATGTTCACCTTGATTTATGGTTTCTCTAGTAGTTTTTTAACCCCCAAGTGTCCAGTTTTAGTTATAAATTATAAATAGATATTCCACATGTTCTTAAAAACTTGAAATCCTGGAGCATATGGGAGAAGGGCAAGGGGAAGACAAAGAGACAAATTCCTGTGTGGCTTGAGCTAATGGTATTGGCAGGGCAAGAATATGGGCCTAATCTACTATGCTAGTGGTCTTTTGAGATGATGAGCCATGACCATCTTATCTCTGCCTGCACATGCTATCAGGCAGGTGGACAGGAGAGACATCATCAATGCCATGCAAGAGACATAACACTGTGAGGCTTTCAGTTTCATGGAAAATGATTTTTCACTGAATAGACTGCATACCCTCTGTGTACCACTTGGAGCCATGAGACAGGAAAATCATGTCGAGAGCCACCTGTCATTATATTAACCACAACAGAATGGAAGTTGTTAGCATAAAAACAAATGGAGACATACTCAGGAGGAGATCAGAGCACTTATGGTCATGTCTGATAAATGTGATCTCAAAAATGAACACATTCATGTACATGTGTATTTTTTGTCTTTTCATTGGCACATCCAGTGCTCTTTTATCTCCTCCATTTTTTACATCCAGGGCTAAACAGATCGTGCAGGTTTTCAATTGGCTGGTAGGCCTCCTCGTGTGCTTGGTTTTCTGCTCTTTTTTGGCTGCACCACTTTTCAATCCAAAATTTGTATTTTAACTACTGACATTGATTCATCCACTTAAAATTCATCAATTTAATCCACTCTCTCAAGGCATTAATTAACCTTCTGATACAATGGGCAATGCCAGCCAGCCTGTCGCTGTTTCATTGCCCACAAAACCTACATATTCTAGCATAATGATGAATGTAACTGAACCTCTGCATAGATTCATTTTGATACCTGCTTAAGATTTTTTTTAAATTATTCAAAATGTTTATAACGAAGACCTAAATTTAGTTCAGGACAGACTAGCAATATTGGCCTAAATGTTATGTTTTCACATTCTAGCTGGGTCATTCCAGCTATTTCTAGTAGCCTAAATTCTTAGACTAGAGACACACTTTTACACTATTCTTAATATTGTAAATGTTTGGAAGGAATTACAATGTTGGCTTGGTTTGTTAACATTATCTTTTTCCCCAGGATAGATGAATCTTTAATCTGTGCTCTTTGTATCCAACAGAATCTGACTCTAAGGAATGGAATCAAAAACTCAAAGTACTACCTAGAAGCTCCAGAAGAAGTGAAGGCTGTAAGTTTTTCATTTTGTGAAATTTAATAATAGGAAAAACCATCTTTAGCATTAAACAGAGAATTTTACATTTAATATTTGGTAGGGATTAGTAGACAACATTCCTCGCTTGTGTTTCAGAGTCCTATTTTGGGAGCCGTGGGACGGGATAATAAATCCTCTGCCCCTCCCCATACGCACGTACGCACACATTAGTTGCATATCCTTATGTGATCAACATTACATCAACCACATTTAGTTCCTAAGATATTTTCTGATCCCCATCGAAAGCAACACTTAGGCGTTGCCAGTCCGACTCGCAATTCTAACGTGCCGCGATCGAAACCCACTGCTGGCTGCATGGATTTTTATCATGGCATGGGTTGTTGCAGGTCGACCCAGCCTAAAATGTGTACCAGGATGGCTGTCCTCGGAAAGTAAAGACGGCTGGCCTAATGCTGACCACATTACCCACCTAGATTGGTCTGTAAAAATATGGGTGCTCTTCCCATATGCCCTATGCGCCTAAGGCGTGAAAAGGGATCTTTACTTAACTTGTCATTGAAAGCCACATGAATGGTAGTAGGTACACAGGTAACATATGGGTGGCATTAGGTATAGAGGTATAATATGAGTGGTAGTAAGAACAGAGGCAACATATGAGATATGATTTCTTAGCGTTCACTGGCTGTAAACTCCAGTAGATAGTCCAGGTTGTGTGTCCACTTCTGTATTTTTGGTCTTGTTCCAGAAATTGAGTCTTTCGTGCACATCTGTCTTCTAGATCTGTCCTATTTGTATGCAGACTGTTAGTTCCTCACCTCTTAGCCAGATGCACTCTGAGTTAGAATTTCTTGGTGTCCTAGTGACTTCAGGAGCCATGATCATGCTAATGTGGTCATGATGAGTCAAGGATTAGGGCCTAGATTTCTTTCTTTTGTAATTGCATCCCTAATATTTTGACAAACTGATTTCTTGTGATAAAGTTTGCCATTTTGGAGTTCCTGTCTAGTTCCATAAAGCTTTGAGGAGGGTGTCGAATTATCAGTGTAATATTGCCCTTTAATAGGCTAAACAAAGGACAGTTCTGTAGGACATAGGCTGCAGTTTCTTCTCTGCTTGAATTGAGAAAGGTGGACTGGGAATCGTCAACGGTCAGGGATGGCAGTTTTCAACAAAATACCTATCATAATCCATGCACTGGGCCACAGACCTGTTGAAACTTGCCAGATGTCAAAAGCTTAATAGGGACCAGTGACTTGCCAGAGTGGAAAAAGTACCAAGGATTTTAGCATCACCTCACATGTTATTGCATGACCTAGTATAATTATAAATGGTACAGTAATTCTGTTTATTTATATATATATTTTTTTATTTTCTCAGAAATGTGACCAGCTGTGTGAAAAGGACAAGTTTGTGGTAAGTATTCTAGCCCCCCTATACTGAACTATGTAGACACCCTTTTATTTCTAATACCTATTCAGACTCCTCTGTATTCAACTATGTCGATGGTATATAATCAGCTCATCCTGTTGTGTTCACAGAGCCAGAAGTACCTTACACTTGAGAATTTGAATGTGATGACTACAGAAGAGCTTGAAAATTACCAAAAAGAAAACCCTGGTAATAATAATGTCAAGATTGCCTTGCTGACCAAAGCTTTGGAAACAAATGTGAGTAGACATTCTGAACTTCATAGAGAGTTCAACAATTGCTTCAGTTTTATCAGTTACCATTTTCAAGAAATGGGGGGGGGGGGGGGGGGGGGAATTAAGTGAGTTTGAGAATAATGTGGGGGATTTAATCAGTTTTAAAAATACAGAAATATGTGGGAATATTTAGTCAGTTAAAGAAATATTTGAGGGATCTAGTTAGTTAAAGAAATAAGTTAAGATCAACTTAACTTAGTAGTTAAAAAAATATATGAGATTTAATCAGTTAAAGAAATGGGGGGGGGGGGGGGGGGGGGGGGGGGGAGTCAGTTTAATTTAAAAAAAAGAAATATTTGGAGAATTTAGACAAATAAATAAATATGTGGGGGATTAAGTAAGTTATAAAGGAATGTGTGGGGAATTTAGTCAGTTAAATAAATATGAAGAGGACATAGTTAAAGAGATAAAGAAACATGTGGAGAGTTTAGTCAGTTAAATAAATAAATGTGGGAGGTTTATTTAGTCAGTATAAAAAATATAAAGGGATGTGTCAGTTAAAGAAATAAAAAATGATGTGGAGGACTAAGTTAAAGAAATATGTGGAGGACTTATTTAAAGAGATAAAGAAATATGTAGAAGATTTTGACAAAGAAATAAATATGTGGTGGATTTAATCAGTTAAAGGAATATGTAATTTGTTTTAATCAGAAATATGAGAGAAAAATGGTCAGCTAAAGACAATATCAAAATTATCAGTGTTCATCCATTGCTCTTGTGACATAATTAGTCAGTAGGTGTACTGTTATTGATGCTATAAATTTGTGCATGTAATTTCATTGGATTTGATCATTTTAGCAGAGCAAATAACAATTATATGCAGAATTTAAAAAAAAAAGAAGAATGTCAGCTTTTTCTAATTTTAAAGAAGAAAAAATAGAACTATCTTTACCCTTTCCCCCTCTTCCAATTGAAATTTAAAATACATAATTAAATGTTGGTTTACAAAGTAATTTCATGGATTTTTTACAACTAAATTTGTGTTACACCTTTTGACATGGTTTCTCTTATCGCTTTTCTTTTCTTTTCCACTTATTTGTCATAGGACCTTGAAAATATCAAGCAGAAGCTGCGAAAGTTGGAGGCCATCAACTTCAAGTTAAATTTCACTTCCGTGCTGAACTTGGTGAAAAAATTCAACCAACTAGGAGATGTAGAAACAGCAGTGCAATACTTTCATGAGCTGTAAGTTTGAAAATTGCTTTCTGGTAGCTTTCTCAACCCTTTGGAGAAAAAGCCATGAACTCTAGAATTCTATGGGAAAATGATTTTTTTTTTTTAAACCCATTTTACATAAGTCACTAATCTTTAAAAAAAAAAACAAATGCATGTTCCGCACAGTTGGTGGCATTGGCACCAGCTATGCAAACCTAAATCCTTAGGCTGGAAGACCTCCCTCCATCCCAACCTACACTACAGAATGGGTAAACCCAAGTCAGTAGTTGCCAGTTGGCACTAATAATTGTTTTTAATCTTACTGGAGCAGCTGGCCGAGTGATTACAATGTTGGGCTCTCATGCTGGTTTGACCCTGGGTAAGGTGATGGTGTTTTTCTGTCAAGGGCAAAACTAAACATCCTAACCTGCACAGTCCATGGCAACAGCACTAGCCGTGTGACCCTAAATACTCAGATTTATGATCTCCCTGTCTACACAGCCCTAAATAAAAGTGGTAAAACAGACAGTAGTGACAGTTGTTGATTTATTTATATAAATTTTTTTTAAATGAAATAAATGAAGGAAAGCAATCAAACATGAACAGAGTGGAGAATTAAATGGCTCAGTTTCCTTAGGCCTAAAAAGTTCCTCTTGCTCTTTTTCCATGAATCTTGCCAGTTGCTGTCAAGTTCTCCAGTCTATTCCTTCTCATATCTAGAAAATGTCTGCGCCTAATTGTTCCAAGTTGGTGACTTTCATTTGTCTTGATGAAGACTGCTCTGTTTGTTGTTCTTTCCTTCCATGATATTCTTTGCAATTTACTCAGAAACCACATCTCTGCTTTTTCTTAGAATTGTATTGTGTAATGTGTAGCGTAACTAGAGACAGTATGAGTTGGTCGTTTAATTTGAAGGATTTCCTGTTTTACGTTTCATTTTCTGTAGATGTAGACTGTGTAGTATGCATCTGATGATATACAGCCAACACATGCCATGCAGTATATTGTTGAATCAACATCACAGCACTTGGAACAACACCTCAAAGCGCTCTATCCCCATCTTCAGCAGCAAGCGCAGAGTTCCAATTAAGATGGTACCAGTAACTATCTGATTGTAAATTCATCTCACCCTTCTCTTGAGTGTATTAAAATATTGTTTGTGTCCCTACTGGTTAAAGTTTAAAAACAAAAAATAAATATTCAATAGATGGCATTACTTTATTGATTGCGACATTTAAATATTGACTAAGGTATTTAACATTGTTTTAAGCATAAAAATATTAATTACAGTGATTTTGTTTATTGTTGTCACGCAGGACTAAAACAGTTGGGACCAACTACAATATAATGATTCCTCTTTCTCTTGGGATACAGTTGGTGAAAGCTGGGAAGATAACAGGTAGTCATTCTTCTGTCTGATATTATTTATATTTATAATTGTTCAAGCTGTTCAGCAGTATACAGTTAGGTTGATGTCACACGTCACTTCACATTGTTAGAATCACAACTGACCTAGATAACTGGAAAGGACCCAGGATGGTTAACAGTGTTTTTGGGTTTGTAAAAGCTTGGGGAAAATGGAAAACAGACCTAGAAAACCTTTGAATTTGCCCACCTTCTTCTTTTTTGTTCACTGGCTGTGAAATCAGGCAGAAGGTCCCGATAGTTCATCCATCTGGACTTTTGGCTTTTATAATTTGACCACCATAAATGGGACATTTGAAATACCATGCACACAGGTATAGCCTGAGGGAAATATTTATAACCTGTGTACTGTTACAGATCTGTCTTTGTCATTTGTGGCTATTTAGCTATATCAAGTCAGTCCTGATATAAAGAAGTGAATTATGGACATTTAGCTTATTAGCGAAAAAATAGTGTTGACTAAGATAATCAGCACTATATTTCTACGCATGTGTGTTGTGATTCATTGAATAACTGAAGCTGCCCTCTTTTCTCCAGATGTCTTAGACATTTATTCTTGGTGTGTCATAAAGAGATCCCATTGCTTATAAATGAAGTTCGCTGTATCATAACTGAACATATTGGATCTATGAACATTTTTTTTACAGTGAAAAGACAGAAAATACAATTGTGGGGACATGTAATAAGATTTGCCAACCTCTCTTAAATACTACTACAGCGCTTAGTAGAAGAGACATGTCAAATAAAACCGGGATGCAGAACTCGGCTGACAAAACAAAAGTGCAAACATGAAGTTCAGCTGACTCGGCTGACTAAACAAAAGGGCAGACATGAAGTTCAGCTGACTCGGCTGACTAAACAAAAGGGCAGACATGAAGTTCAGCTGACTCGGCTGACTAAACAAAAGTGCAGACATGAAGTTCAGCTGGCTTGACTGACAAAACAAAAAGGGCAAACATGAAGTTCAGCTGACTCGGTTGACTAAACAAAAGTTCAATTATGAAGTTCAGCTGACTTGACTGACTAAACAAAAGTGCAGACATGAAGTTCAGCTGACTTGGCTGACTAAACAAAAGTGCTGACATGAAGTTCAGCTGTCTTGACTGACTAAACAAAAATGCAGACATGAAGTTTGGATGACTAAACAAAAGTGCAGACATGAAAGTTCAGCTGACTATGTGTACTTGTGTTGTTTACTCTTAGTTAAAGGTCTCTCTTCATAATTGAGTATAATCAGTATCATTTGTCTGTGCACATGTTTTGTTTACCCTCATTTGAAGCTGTCTTTCTCTTCTTCAAAACTTTAGAGATCATAAGTATTAGTTGTTTAATTTTTTTTTAAGTATCCAGAAACCATGAGTTGTAAACCATTTAACTCGGTACTATGGATATCGCAATCCTACGGCCTTGATTCTATGATAGATACGGTAAATCTGGGAGAAACGTGGCTTTTCTGTCTACCCCGAGCGTGAACAAGGACTACAAGAAGTTCATCACCTGGTTGCCGCGTGGAGAGTTCTAACCAGCTTTGCTAGCGAGCCAGGCAGTCAGCGTTATATATATCTGAGCACATTCCTTGTTTAACCATGAAGTAACTGAAACAATTTTCTATTCTCCAGAAGCCTTGGAGATGATCAGAGCTGCTGACAATAGTACATTTCCTAAGAGGACTGAAGACAAGAAGCTGTTGTACCTTAAGACAATGCTGCTAAATGCACCAAGTGTTGATGATGCAGCCACACTGCATTCTGAAATCTGTTCAACTACATCACTTCTCATTGACAAAGAACCGTTACGTGTTCATGCTGCCTACATTACTAGAGTCCTTCAAGAGTATGTTTTTTCCCTTCAGTGTCAAACTTTAACAGATTTAGGTAGAAATGTAGGCAAAGATGGAGGAACAGGTATATATATATATATATATATAAACACACATATATATATATATAAACACATATATATATATATATATATATAAACATATATATGTGTGTGTGTGTGTATAAATAAATATATAAACATATATATATATATATAAACATATATATATATATATATATATATATATATATATATATATATATATATATATATATATATATATATATATATATATGTGTGTGTGTGTATAAATAAATATATGTATATATGTATATATATATTTATTTATTTATTTACACACACACACACACACACACACACATATATATATATATATATATATATATATATATATATATATATATATATATATATATATATATATATATATATATATATATATATATATATATGAATTTTCACAGCACTAGGAACTCTGTGAAAGTTGAAAGAAATTAAAACTTAGAGTATATCACTAACATTAAATCAATACTGATGTATAATGCTAAACTTGAAGAATAACTACAACAGTTACAGGTGAACTGCAGTGTGGTGACTGATTGACTCTTGCTTGTACATGCTCACAGACTGTTAACCAAGGTTCCAACTTATCACAAACGGGTCATCCCATTATTGTTTCATTCCTGAGCCAGTGAAAATTGCACAAAATGTTCATCACTGTATCTTGTGAGAAGTCAAACTGACAGCTCTCCTTGCAGAATCTGTTGCATCAAATACGTGTGTCAGCTCCAAGAAGGCCAACATGAACAGTCTGTCACTAGAATTGCAGATCATAGTTGATGGAAGCAGCAGTCACAACAGAACTGCAATTGCACTTGCAATACTGCATAAGGCACACTGCAGTTTCTGTGACAACCACAATTTACCGTTTTTTTTTAAAAATGCAGTTTACACACACCTCTCTAGGAGCACAGTTAGTTGCATATCCATTTCAGGACATTGCAGAACCAACCCCAGCATTTTTTGGCTGTTCTGGTTTTTCTAGGCAAATTCTACATTCATGTAGTTTGCCATTTCTTTCTAAACGATCAGCTCTTCATACCACTGTTGAAACCAATACAAGACAAATTGTCCACAGCTGGGATCGAAGCCAGCATTACAAAGTGCATTCACACTGCCTGAGCCACAGACGCCGACAGGAGCACAAACAATAAGCATTTTCTATGAAATCTAATGTCACACCCTGCACTCATTTTAGTATCTGGTTGAAAAACTAGTCTAATCCACTTTTGCACTGGGTTGAGAGTGAGGTAGGCTTTAACAAGAGAGGCTAAGAAACATTAAGAGTCCTGTATTGTGCATTATTGCTCCATTGACCAGCTATTACACAAGAAAAAATGAGTTATAGGACAGACTCTTGAGGACATCGGACTGGCAACATTATAAGATAGGGAGACCGAACAATGTTTAGGATGGCTACTTGGAACTTCTTCTTCGCGTTCCCTGTAGTTCAAAGTTCTGGTTGTTCGTCCACTTCTGGACCCTAGTCTTGCTGCAGAATCTGAACATGGCGTACACATCCGTTTTACAGATTTGACCCATGTGTATGCAGACTGTTGGTTCCTTGCCTGTCAGGCAGATGCACTCTGACTTCGAAGAAAGCTTTCAGTTAGTTGACTCTTATGACAAGCTCTTGGGTAGGCAGTGGGTCTGTTCTTGTTTTCCCCACAATAGGGCCACAGAGGTAACAACTTAGGAAAGAGACAATAAAGAACCAGAGCTGTTACTGGACGCAGTACAATCAGCAATACTGTCTGAAAAAAGGAAACTCGCCAGATTGGGGGAAATTACCATTTTTCCAGGCCCCACCATCTCCTAATGTAATCCTACCAGAAACAATTCCACGCAAGGTGACTGCTCCCTCCCACCCCATGCGTGGCTGTTCGCAGTATTCACCGGCTGCAATACAGTTTGCCCTTCCCGTACCCTTAACTACCCATTTCAGCTGAAAAACTACATCCAGGCAGTTTGTAAATATATACAGTAGTACTAGTACTATACTAATACATGTGATAAGTCCCTGCACACCTAGCTCGCAAACGAAACAATGAACAGACCATTGACTGCCCGCTTACTGGAAACAACTAAAAATTTAAAACATCTTAACACTTGTCTGTTGGACAATCTCCAGAGCCGATGATGACGATCTCTTGGCCAGATTGAGAAAACTGCATGAGACCTACCATGTATTCCCTTGCATGGAGCAGGTGCTGGTGCGATTGATAGAGAAGCAGGATGTGAACCAGTTAAAGAAAGGTAAACTCTTTTATTCACTGCTTAATGTTGATTTTTATTGTGTCTTATTATCTTCTCCTTCTCTTTCTTCAGTAACTTCTTCAAGGAAGTGTAGTACAACTAGTTATGCTAGCTCATAGCTCAGAAGTCAACTTTGGCATGAATTTATGGACAGTTTGCTTTCCCTGGAAAGATTTTAGTTAATGTCACAGGATGATTGTAGAAGATCGATGACAGATATTGATGATGTGGAGGCAGAAACATATAGGAACCATAAAGCAAACATAGACATTAGATGACAGAGAAGTAAAAACTGTATACACGAGGGAGATGAATGGTCGTAGACCACGAGGCAGAGCAAGAAGATGAAGGAAAGATAATGTCCAGACCTGCAAACACTCGGTGTCACCAACGGGAAAGAGAAGGCCAACCAGAGAGATGAATGGAGGCAGTTGATATCTACAGCAATGCACCTCAAGGGCTTGGAATGCTGAAGAAGAAGAAGACATTATGATAATAATGAGTGAGTTATTTCTAGTAATTCAGTTCTGGTAATTCACTATATAGCCCGTATGGATAGTGGCAGGAGTCAGGGTCCTTTTACTTTTTGTGTTAGTGTCTTTCGGTATATACACAGACTCATGTTGGTTAGTATAGGTCCTAATATACACAGACTCATGTTGGTTAGTATAGGTCCTAATATACACAGACTCATGTTGGTTAGTATAGGTCCTAATATACACAGACTCATGTTGGTTAGTATAGGTCCTAATATACACAAACTCATGTTAGTTAGTATAGGTCCTAATGAGGAATATGCCAGACACAACCTTCAACTAAACAGCCAGAGAATATGGCTCTAGCTTACTCTGCAATATCTTGAATTATTTATCCCTCACAAAGATTAATATCTAACAGTCTGAAAAGTTGACAAATTTTTATTTTCAGTCATGGATTTAGGTCTCAGTGTGTTTGGGAGCAGCATATTTCATCTGAAACTGGCAATGTGCTTTATTCGATGTGGAATGCCAGCAAAGGCTGTTACCGTCTTAAAGGTATCTGTTGATATGGCTAGCTAATGTGTTTTGTTTTTTGTGTTTTTTTCAGACTGGTGAATGATAGTACATATTTTATAGTGAAGATGGTTAAACGTCATTTTGTTTATATGAAAAAAAAAGAATATATAACATGAGCTAAACTATACCATTCATTAGCTTTATGACTTGACGTTGATTTTTATGTAATTTTGATCAATAGCAGAAGAAGAATCTGATACTAGTTATCTTATGTTGACCAGTAGAATAAAGACAGTTTGACACACAATTTGTTATGGTCAGTAGAATAAAGAGCATTTGTCATGTATTATGTTGTGTTCGATCAGCAGCATAAGAAGAAGTTGATATTGGTTCTGTCATGTTGATAAATAGAACACAGAAAATGTTTCACTCAATATGATGTGGATCAGTAACATCAAGAGAATTTGTTATGAATTCTATCAGGTTGTTTAGTAGCATAAGAATAATTTGATACTAGTTTTGATTTGTTGACCAGTAGTCTAAAATAATTTGACATAAATTTGTTTTTGTTGATTAGGAAAATGAGTAATTTTTCATGGATTGTTTTATGTAGATCAGAAGCATAAGAACATTTTGACACAAATTCTGTTAAATAAGAGTAATTTTTCATGGATTATTTCATGTTTATCAGAAGCATAAGAACAATTTGATACAAATTCTGTACAATAAGAATAATTTGTTGTGGATTGTGTTATGTTGATCAGAAGCATAAGAACAATTTGACAGAAGTTCCGTAAAATAAGAATAATTTGTCATGAATTGTGTTTATCAGAAGCATAAGAACAATTTGACATGAATTCTGTTATGTTCATGAGTAGCTTTCTTTGAGAATCATTAAAATCATTTGGGTTCTGCTTTTTTAAGTCCTGAAACATTATTTTTCCAACACCTGATACTTTCTTATGCTTGATCCCTAATTTTGTTTGTCCAGACACCACAGCTGCAGATTTATGAGAGATCCCTGGTTGCAGAATGTCAGTATTTCCTGAGGTCCAAACGGGTAGGTTGCTTGTGGTAATTAGTGTGTTTAGCAGTGTTGGTCACTTAGGTAAAATTGTGACAACAGAGATGAAATGCCTTAGAAGAGCTGCAGGAGTTTCAAGGAAAGACAGAATACGAAATCATGAAACCAGACGAATGCTAGGAATAAAGCCAGTCTTACAGGTCATCAAAGAACAACAAATGAAGTGGTTTGGACACCTAACAAGAATGTCCTGGTACTATCCGCAACAGCGAGCCTCACTAAAACGTTACAACGGGTATAGAGTGAGTGGAACACCTCGTAAAATATGGAGTGATGGCATTAAGAACAGCCTTACAGAAATGAACATCAGTCTTAAAAGTGCTCTTGACAGAGCTCATCAACGAACATTACATCTTCCCCCGACACTTCGATGAGGTACAAGGTGGAAGAGAAGAAGAAGAAGGTCACTTAGGTGACAGCAAGCACCGCCCTCTGGTGGTTGGAATGGTCCAGTGCCCCACACACAAAAATACTTTTACTTTTAACTCAAAGTGTTTCAAAACTTCAATCCATTATGGACATTATCTGTGGAGGATTTTTAAAAAAAATTATATGCCTCTGATTATAGTATAGTGGCTAGATCCTCACCTGAAAATCTGAAGTTTGTGGGTTTAGGTCCTGAAGGAGCTGGACTTATTTTCAAATATGACCTTGGCTTCCAGGTCAGCTGAGTGCTTATTGGTCTATAAAATATAGCCCTATATGCCCAATATGCCCGAAGGCTTGGGAAAAGGTTCTTTACATTTTACTTTGGTTTATTACTGGGTAGTGATCACATGCACAGCCTTCTCCGACAAGGATAAAAAAATAGCAGGTGCTGTGAGGATATGAAAATATTCAGAACGCCTCCGTAGCCTGACACTGTAGACAGGGTTTTTAGTGGGTCTTAACACAGGAAAAATTTGGGAAATGCAAGATCTCTCTAAAGATCGGGAAAAAACTATTTTTATGTAAACTGAAGAAAATCCTGGGAACTCTACCCACAAATCCTTGAACTTTACACACTGTAACCTGGATAACTAACAAATGAAGAATTTTATGTGATTTTCGGCAGTCAGGCTTTTTGTCTTTTTTGTGGTTACAATTTTGTTTTATTTGTGGGACATTGTTTAAGCTGATCATTCTGATCGCTGTCGATAAACTGCGTGGGCAAGATTGTGGGCTTCCGTTTTCTCCTTTCCTTTCTTTCTCCCCCCATCTCAGTGCCCACTTTCTTTTCTTAGTCTCTCTTTTTTTTTCTTCTCTCCTTCTATCTTCTTTCCCTCTCAGTCCTCTATCCCTCCCTCCGCACCCCTAAACTCTACTTTCTGTAATGTCAAAAATGAAACAGAAGCCTACTGGTACATGACCTTTTTTCATAATGGGGCAAACACTGTGTTAACAGGGCAAACACAGTGTTAACAGGGCAAACACAGTGTTAACAGGGCAAACACAGTGTTAACAGGGCAAACACAATAGGTATGGTTATTTCTGGGAATCAGGTCATGCTGGACTTTTTCTTTTCAAAAATGACCTTGGCTCCCAAGTCCTCCCAGCCTTGAGTCTAAGAAACAAAACTATAGCAGCCACACGGCTACAGCCAAGCATGGGACGGAAGGGCTGGTCAGGGCCGCTGTTGTTTCTCGACCACATTCACATTGGGAAAGGTGACATCACTTAGATTTCCCAATTCTGTTTTTGGAGCTCAGTGTTCGCTCGGTATACCATTGAATAAGGCAAAAATACCTTTCCTGAGTATTACCCCGAAAAAACCATGAGTAAAACTAAGAATACCTTGAAAAGCCTTGAATTTATTGGTAAACTTGGTTATAAACTCTGTTAAAAAGCCTTGAAATTGATTGGTAAATTGGCCTATGAACCCTGTGTACAATCAATCAATCAATCAATCACTTCTCTTTTTTATTTCACCTAGCAACTCTCTTTTCATTCCCAATTTCCTCAGTACCTCTGTATTTGATAGCTTTTGTTTCCATGAAATACGACCTAATTTTCTGTATATCCACATCTCAAAAGAATTGAAATGATTTTCCAGATGTTTGTTCATTGTCCATGTCTCTGTGCCATACAGTAAGGTTGAGAATACATAACATTTGACATTTCTCATTTTTAATGTATTGCTTATTTCTCTTGATGTCAGTAACTTTTGCATTTTGTTGAAAATGTTTTTGGCCATCCCTATTCTTTTCTTGACTTCTGTTTCACTTCTGCCGTCACATGTTATTACTTGTCCAAGATATAAAAAATTTTTAACTTGTTCCAATTCCACCCCGTTCACTGTGATATTCATTGTTAGCTGATTACTTTCTTTGCTAAATATCATGGTTTTTGTCTTTTTCAAATTAATATCTAATCCAAATTCTGCACCCCTTCTGTTAACTTGCTCCACTGGGTCTTGCAACTCCTGCTCACTCTCTGCTAGCAACACTGTGTCGTCAGCATATCTCAGATTGTTTACTGTTCTACCATTGATGTTCAGCTGTGTACAGTACTGGCCACTTTCCAAGCACAATTTGTATATATGTGTGTGTGTATATACACACACACACACACACACACACACACACACACACACACACACGCGCGCGCGCGCTCATGCACCACCTCACGCACACACACACATATGGATGGTTTCACAGTAAGGTAACACAATTTTGTTCCCACAGAGTGCCTGATAGTACTGTTTCTGATTCAGTCTTGAATGGTTTACTTGCCAGCTTTCCTCAGGCATCTCACCTCGCATTTTCCAAAGGGAAAATCTTTAAAGCAGACAGTGGAACCTTTACTTCTACCACCAGCAACAATACAGTAGAGGTTGTGGCTGTGACAAAAGCCCGAGAATGCCTGAAAACTTAGGAGTTCACCAATGAAGATCAAAGTGGGGTACATGAGGATTCAGTGGCTCCATCTGATACAGCATGCAG